AGCCAGCTCAAGTTGGCTGAGAGCTCCCGGCCAGGAGTGGCGTCCCCCACCGCTGGGCGGGGCGAGCGCGCCTGCTGCAGGCCCACTTTCTGGGGGTGAAATCTGTCCCCGGTTGATGCAGATCTCAAAAGTGTTGGTCTTGAGTCCCCAGAAGGGACCCCAAGCTCACGGCCCAGGCAAGAGCTCAGTATAGACCAAGCGGAAGTCGCTGATGGGGAGGGTACCCCCGGAGAAAAGGTCCCGCTGCCCCTCCTCCCTCCTCCACTCCGCGACCCCTGCGCTGCACCCCTCTGCTGGGCCAAAAGCTGGTAGGCAAAGCGGTCCTCTGCTTGTTGGGAAGCCCTCGCAGTTGTTGTTGAGATGTATTTGAAAGAGGGGAGAGAGGGAGAGGGAGAGGGAGAAGGAGAGGGGGGAGGGGGAGAGGGAGATGGAGAGGGAGAGGGAGACAGAGACAGAGACAGAGAGACAGATGGAGAGAGGGAGATCATTCATTTGCTGATTTACTCCCCAAAGGGCTGGGCCAGGTATCAGCCAGCAGCCAGGAATTCAATCGGGGTCTCCGTGGGTGGCAGGGACCCAGTGACTTGAGCCATCACCTGTCACCTGCTGCCTCCCAGGGTGCACACTAGCAGGAAGCTGGACTGGACAGAGGAGCCAGGACCCAGAGCCAGGCACTTCTGAATGGAAGGTGGGAATTCCAGGCAGCATCGTCACCACCATGCCATACGCCTGCCCCCTTCTAGTTCTTTAACTCCACTAGCTGAGAATAATAACAAAGCCATTAAAACACAGTAACAGTAACAGGCATTTGCTGAGTGACTAATACGTGCCTGGATGTGTTTTAAGTGCTTTTTTTGGAAAGATTTGTGTATTTAATATGCAGACTGAAGGGGAGAAGGAAAGAGAGAGAGAGAGAGATCTCCGATCCACTGGTTCACTCCCCAGATGTCTGCAACAGCTGGAGCTGGGCCAGGCTGAAGCTGGGAGCCCAGGACTCCATGTAGGCTCCCCCGTTAAGTGGCAGGGCCCAACAATTTGGGCCGTCCTCTGCTGCCTTCTCAGATACGATAGCAGGGAGCTGGGTAGGGAGTGGACAGCCAGGACTCTGACGGACACTCTGATCCGGGACACTGGCCTAACCAGCAGCTTAACCAGCTGCGCCACAATGCTGGCTCCTGAGGTGCTTCTTCTATGTTACCTCTTTCAGTCCTTAGAGCAATAGAACGAGAGGGGTGTGGTTACGACCACTCCCATTTTACAGACAAAGAGGCTGCCTATCTTTCATTAGGTCACACAGTTAATAAGTGATGAAGCGGGGCTGGCGCCGTGGCTCAACTGGTTAATCCTCTGCCTGCGGTGCCGGCATCCCATATGGGCACCGGTTCTAGTCCCAGTTGCTCCTCTTCCAGGCCAGCTCTCTGCTGTGGCCCGGGAAGGCAGTGGAGGATGGCCCAAGTGCTTGCGCCCTGTACTCACATGGGAGACCAGGAAGAAGCTCCTGGTCCTGGCTTCAGATCAGCGCAGTTCTGGCCGTTGCGGCTATTTGGGGAATGAACCAGTGGATGGAAGACCTCTCTCTCTGTCTCTCTCACTGTCTGTAACTCTACCTGTCAAATAAATAAAATCTTAAAAAAAAAAAAAAAATAAGTGATGGAGCAGGTATTCAAACCCAAGCCCTGTGACAGCCACATTCCTGCCTTAACCACTAGGGGGAAGAAGACAAGAAAAAAGCAAGGCAGAAAGGAAACACAGGGCCGTGAGGCAGAGGTTTGTGCCGCCGGAATCCTGGACCAACACTTCCTTGGGCCTGCAGCCCAGCCCACTGCAACCTGGCTTCCAGCTCTCTGGGGCCAGGCACTGGGCAGGTGGGAGCCGCGAGGAAGGAGCAGAGTCCCCGGGGTCTGGGGCACAGAGGTGGCTGCCTCCCTGCCCCGTCTACCTGTGGTCAGAAAGACTCAAAGGCTGAGTTTGATGAGGGTTCTGAATTGACTCCACTCATTAGAGACGGACTAGATTACACGGGCAGTGGGAGGGGCTCCAGGCATCACGGCAGCTCCCAGAGACACACAGGACCCCTTCTCTCCCTGCTGCCCTGGAACCCCCAGAGAGAGACATTTCACCAGGCAGGTGCCAATTAAATTAGTCCAGGGAAGGTGAGAAGCGTGGGATTGAGAAGGCGGAGGGCGAGTGCGGGGTGCGGGGTGGGTTCCGAGCTGGGGCAGTGCGGCTGCTGTGTTTTTAGGTCCAGAGCACGCCCAGCGTGTGGGGTCCCGAGGCTGGGGCTCCTGGGCGAGAGGGGCCTTCAGAGTGGGACACTGGATTGAACCTGCAAACCACAAACCACCAACAGCGCTTGCCCTCAAAGTCCTGCCAAACGTGGGGGGGTGGGGTCATGCAGAGGGAGGGGTGGGGGATGGGGAGGGCAGGTGCCTACTCCTTCCTGCAGGAAGTGAAGCACTCTTGCCTCTGCCCCAGGGGTCAGGAGTGGGGGGTGGGGGTCCCCTAGGGTGGGCTTTTCCCCAGGGGCCGCCCGCTGCAGGTGTGTGGCTCTGAACGCCTCCACGGCGGAAGAGAGCTGCTAGGACGGTGGGAGCGCAAGGGCAATTTCTGGCGACAGCCGCCTGAGCTGCAGAGACAGTGAGCCTGAACTTGGAAGTCAGCCTGGGGCGGTGCTGCAGCCAGCGATGGTGTGGGAGTGGGGGTGTGAGCGTGAGCATGTGTGCGCATGTGTGAAGGTATGAGTGTTACCATGTGTCACTGTGTGTGTGATGGTGTGAAGGTGTGTACATGACACGTGTGTGTATGAGTGTATGTGTGTGTGACCGTGTCTGTATGCCATGTGTGAATGTGTGTGAGCGTATGAGTGTATGTGCGTGTGAGCGGGTGTCATTGTGTGTGTATGACGCATGTGACCATGTGTGAGTGTGAGTATGACATGTGTGAGCATGTGAGGGACAGGGAGCGTGGGCTGAGACCGTGTGGCAGCCTGATGAGCCGCACACCGGGACCTTGAAGGAGCCCAGTGCAGCCCGGCTCTGGCGCTGATTTCCTGGGAGACCGGGCCTGCTCTGCCTTTCGCTCTCCCCCCAGCCAAGGGGGCCATAAATCCTGCGTGCCTGCCTCGGCGACACGGGCCTGGAGAGCGCTCTGTGGTGGGCGGGCGCAGAGCTGAGGGCCTAGGGCTGCCTGCACCTGGAGACAGTGAACCCCAAAACTGGACGTGAGGTTGAGCGTGTGCAGGTGTGCTGGCACGTGTGTATGCACCTGCATGCATGGGTGCTGTGCGTGCACACGAGTGTGACTGTGTAGGCATGTATATGCGTGTGCATGTACATGTGTGTTTATATGGATTTGTGGGGGGGGCACTTCCCAATGTTCATGGAAAATGAAATGCAAAAGGACATTTTGGTGCAAAAAAGTGCTTGAAATCCATCTGTACAACTTCAAAAGGTTCATGGAAAAATGCCTATAATTAAAAAAAAATTATGGCCGGCGCCGCGGCTCACTAGGCTAATCCTCCGCCTTGCAGCGCCGGCATACCGGCTTCTAGTCCCGGTCGGGGCGCCGGATTCTGTCCCAGTTGCCCCTCTTCCAGGCCAGCTCTCTGCTGTGGCCAGGGAGTGCAGTGGAGGATGGCCCAAGTGCTTGGGCCCTGCACCCCATGGGAGACCAGGATAAGTACCTGGCTCCTGCCATCGGATCAGCGCGGTGCGCCGGCCATGGCGGCCATTGGAGGGTGAACCAACAGCAAAGGAAGACCTTTCTCTCTGTCTCTCTCTCTCACTGTCCACTCTGCCTGTCAAAAAAAAATTTTTTTTTTGCATGATCTTTTGATTCCATTGCTCCATGCCTGTTTTGAAGTCCCCTCATACGTGTGCGAGTGCGTGTCCTCTGCAGCAGGAGGTCACGGCAAGGCCCAGGTTGTAAAGACGCTCTGGCCCCTCACAGCAGCGAGAGCGCATGTGTTTGCCAATCCAGGTGTGTGCAGTGCGAATGGGTCCCCAGGGTCGGTGTGGGCGGGTGGGGCTTGTCCCTGTCCAGAGCTGTGAACAATTATTAGTGTTAATTAAAAGCTTTGGCCAGCCGAGCCGGAAGCCCTGTCCCCCAGGCCCAGTGGCCTGTGTCACACACACACCGCCGGCCACAGGTCCCAGCCCAGCGTGGCAAGGGCGGGGTGAACCCTGGCAGAGAGCGCCCAGGCCCCCCAGGCCCTGCCCAGGCCGGCCTCCCCAGGACCCAGCCATCGGTCGGCCCCACATCCGCTGCAAACATGCTTGGGATTCCTTTCTGACCCTGAAGTCAGCGCCAGCCACGTGGGTGACAAAGGCTGCTGGCTTCGCCTGGGAGGGCTGGAAGGAGGCCTCGTGGGGCTCTGAGGATGGGGGAGCAGATGAAGGCCAGGGGCCTCAGGGTCTGGTGTGCCCTCCCCGCCCCCACCCCGCCACTCCACTCCGGCTCTGGGCCGTGGTCCTGGCTCTGGCTCTCACAGCCGGTGCCTGCAAGGCTCTCCACGCACCCATTGTGAGGCTGGAGTTTATGACGGATTGCATTTCAGAGGAGGGATTGATTAAATACAGATGGAGCACTTGGCAATGGCCTGGGGCTCCCAGTAGACTCCCCCATTTAGACGCAGAATAAAGATTAGGAAGCCTGTGCCAGGGCAGTCTGGGGCAAACGGTGCTTTCCAGGGAAGGGCGGGACGTCGGGGCGGGGCCGCTGCCAGTCCCCATGGGAGGGCTCTCCCCGAGGCAAAGGGAGGACCCCTCCTTCGGCCTCGCCAGGCACACAGCGCTCCGCAGTCCGCTCGAGACGATCGCTCTGGCACCTGCCACTCACACTGTTCACCCCCACCCTGTGCCCTCCCCTTTCCAGACTTCCGGCCGGCCGCACCCATCCTTCTGCCGGGAGCGCCCTTCCCTCTCTTCTCTGACTCCTAAGGTCTCTGCCATCTTTTAAGCTCTTAATTCAAAGGCCACCTCCGCCATGCAGCCCTCACTCACTGGAAATGAATCACTCCTTGTGGAGCCCAGGCACGACGCGCTGTGTTCGCTTAGGTCAGGAGGGAGCTGGGAGTGTCCGCGTGGGGCCGTCCCACAGCCCAGCCGCAGGAGGACGCGCGATTTTGTGCATGTGCATCTGCGGGTTTTGCCACTCCAGCATCCACTCCCTATGCCTAGGGTAACAGAGCCTCAGTTTCCTCACGGCAAGCTGCCCGGCCTATGTTCAGTTCACGCGGATCCAACGCCTCGACCAGGGGCGGTCATGTGACCCCCCATCTGACCAATCCCAGGTGATTTTGTTGCCTATGCTGGGCCAATCAGAGCCAAGGAGCGGTGACTCGGGGCATGCGCTCGCCCTCATGGGCGGGAAAGGCGCCGCGGGGCTGTGGTTGCTGTTGCCCGCCTGGTCGCCCCTGGGAGGCAGAGGAGGGCTCGACAGGAGAGCTGGGGACAGTGGCTTTGCTCCTGAGCTGGCCTGGGTGGGAGCAGAAGGCCGTCTTCTGGAGGGGCAAGGGCACAGCAAGGCCAGGGACAGCAGAGCCGTCAGTGCCGCCTGGCACGGGGCCCATGATGCGGCCTTAGACCTTCGGGGATAGGGGATCCGGGAGGGCGCCCAGAGGCCGGGACCCCAGGGAGAGGAGGGATGAGCCTGCCGGGCTGATCTCACCGACAGGAGCGGGAGGCACCGTGTGTGGGCGGGACGGGTCTCTGGAGCCAGGCCCACGCATGATGGGGTGGGGGGCCCAGAGCCTCACCAGGTAAGATGGCAGGCAGAAGGGAGCGGGCAGTACAAGCACAGGGCCAGCGGGGAGGTGAGGGGGTTTCAGAGATGAGGACTTGCAGGTGGGCGGGCCTAACTGCTGGGTTGTACAATGCTAAGGGTGCCCCAGAGACCGCTGGGAAACTTTCCAAGGGCCCCACCAGGGATTTTAAGGTCCTGGGACGGGTGGGGGGAGAGATAAAAGGCCGAAGAGTGTCATGGGGGATGGCCCATGTGCAAGACCCCAGGGGAGGAAGAAACTGGGGGAGCGAGGCACCACAAACGCATCTCCTGGGTGCCCAGAGAAATGGGATGGGAGCACCCCCACGGGCAGGCACCCGGATGGCCAGGGCTCAGAGGCAGGGCCTAGCTGAGCTGCGGGGCAGGGGCGACCCCGGGATGGGTGGGCCCGAATGCAGGCCACAAGACAAAGCGCAGTCGCCCCATGAAGTCAGCCAGAAGAGATGGAGGAGGCTGCAGGTTAAGTTCCAGAGCCTTCCATGAGGGTCACCAGGCAAAAGAGCCTAAGGACAGCTGAGGCAACTCCAGGAAGAGCAGCAGAGACATCCCGGGGGGCAGGTGCAGTGTGGGGAGATCTGCCAGCAGCCCCCCACAGCCCCCTCCCAAGCCGATCGCAGGTGGTGGGGGAGGGGGTGTAGTCACACAAGCCAATCACCAGTCGGGCTTGAGAGCTGTGCACACAGCGCAGGCCTGGCCCGACTGCTGGGGTGGCTGAATTTGCTCCCAGCTGGAACCACGTGGACCGGCAGCCACAGGGGTCTGGTGGGAGTCCTTCCAGTCAGGCCCCCGGCGTTGGCTCTTGCAGCACCGAGAAGCGGGATGTGTACGAAGACATGTGTCATCACCCAGAGCCCCTAAGCGGGACAGGGCCCACAGGGGAATTCCCATCACTGTTGCGAGCTGCTCTCAGAAAACCTGAGTTTAGGAACCTGCACTGTGCCAGAGGTCAAAGGCCATTCTCTGTGGGCCGTGGGGCTTGGCTCAGCCCTGCTCCTGCTGTTCACACCCGCCTCCACCGCCACACACACTCACCCCTGCTGTCACCCTCCTCGGACCCCCAACGGGCAGCAGCAGAAAGGACCTGTGTGCTACTGGGGCAGCAGTGGAGGAGGAGGAAGGGGGCCAAGGCCTCTTCTCCAGCCCACCCAACGGGAACACCCTCACCAAGCACACTGAGGCCCCGCTCCACGGGGGCCACCAGTTCCCCACTGGAGTTGCAGGACCTTGGGGAGCGGGGCATGGTCTACAGTTCTCATTAGATGGCATTCCACTCCGGAGTCGCACAGGCCCCGCACAAAACCAGTCCCCAATTTGCTGAGCACCAACTCCGTGCTAGGCAGGCTCCAGGAGCTGAATGCTGGAGGTAAGCTGAGAACAGGGCCAAGGGGCCAGGGGGCCGGGAGGGGGCCAGGGGGCGGGGCACAGAGCGGAGAGAGGGAGCAGTGACACTCTGCATCCTCACAGCTCTCTAGACCGGGGACAGCCCTGCAACAAGGAACGCTGAAGTCGTGCCCGGGGCTCTGAACAGCACACCACCAGGTCCTGAGAAAACCCCAGGGCATCAGAGGATGACTCCCACAGAAATCCCAGCTCCTCCACGCGGGAACGCTCACACTGGAGGCACTCAGCTTCCGCTACTTCCTGCCGTTTATTTTTGTGGCCTGGAGAGGGCTTTGCAGAGATTCACCAGGGACCCGGGCCGTCAGGTGGAGGCAGGTCTAAGCCTCACCCAAAGGAGCTGGCAGGGCCGCAGCAGCGCGGCGTCAGCAGAGGCGCACCCTGGAGGGTGGCATCTAGGACACCCTCAGTGGGACAAGGAGAGGTGGCTGCGTGCAGGGGAGAGAACCAGCAAAACTGCTGCCATTCCCTTGATGAAACGAGCGAGCCCGCAAGCACACGGCAACAGAGTGTAGGCCTGTTGGCTTCAACTGCCTGCTCCTGTGCCTCGCTGTACCAATCTACAGAATGGGACTCCAACAGTAATGGAATTCATCGCACCCGGGGGCCGCGAGCGTTCACAAAGCTCTCGCCTGGAGAGCACCTGGTGAGCTCTGCTCCGGTGTGTGCTCAGTGATTGTTAGCTTTTATGATCGTTTATTTTTCTCGGGGGGTGGGGGGGGAGGAGGCAAAGAACCACCATGCTCATAGCAAATATAAAGTATTCTCAGTGGCTTCAGAAAATCACATTTCACTCTGCCTGGAAGAAAAGGAGATGTCAATTATTTCAAATAGACATGTACATACTTTAAAATATTGAGTTTATTTAAAAAATCAGTACAGTAAAAACTATACGAGCAATGACAAGTGCTCCTGTCAACTTCAAGTGCACACACACAAGGCTCGCCAGATTAAAGACCTGTCATCTGCCCCAGAGGCCTTAAATTCTCAAGTGACATGAAATTAAGCAGGAAAACATGAACATCAAGTGGAAGTTGATTTTTCACAAGTGTGATCACAAGTGCGATCAAACGGCTTAGATTATCACCTGAAATATCTGTACTTCAGAGAGGCCCTGGACACAACACTGGCTGTGCCACACGGGTTCACAGCACTCGGGGGGCGGGGCCCCACGGCTCTTCTTCATGTCGCTCACCAAGTCTCAGGCAAAAAAAAAAAAAGAAAAACCACCGGGGAAACCGTCTTCCAGGCAGTGGCCTTATCTTTGTGCGAGTTCCCTTTCTCCTCCTGAATTCATCGTTTCTGAAAACAAGGGCTTCTCTCCCGCCAGCCATGACCGTAGGCTACTGGGGCCCCCAGTGTCTTCCTCTCGCAGTGGGGACCGGGGCTCTTCCACCATCCACGTCTGTGCTCTCCTCCCACACAGGGTCCCTCTGGGGCACGGAAATGCAGCCGCTTCAGACCTCATTTGAGAAGGGCGTGCTGAACCTTCACGCGGGCACAGGCGACGGCCTGGTCCTCTCCCTCTGAATCCAGAGACAGCTTCCTGCAGCTGGCCGAGTCGACACACAGCAGTAAGAGGCTCTGGAAGTCCCCTCGGAGCGGAGCTGGGGCTGACAGCCTTAAGACGAGCCCTGGAGAAGTGCGGCTCCATGACCACGCTGCCCAGTGACGACACCCAGGGTGGGCTTCTGCCTCTAACAGCGGCGGCAGCCTAGGGGCCGCCCTGTGACCCGGCAGGGACAGTGGTCCCCACAGGCGCGGTGGTGGGACTGGACAGCGACTGCACGTGTGCGGGCAGTGCGGCCACCTGCGGGTTCAACAGCAGCTTGAGTCCCTGTGAGAACCACACTGGCCTACTACTTTCCGAACACTGTGACCGTGAGCGCCACGCCGACCCAGAGGACACACACAGTGTCTCACAGGAAGTGAGAGTTCTGCAGCTGCTTCATCCCGTCTTCACAATCCCCGCTTCCAGGTTAAGCTCCAGAGCACTGCCGTTGACAGTGCGAACAGCGGAGCTCCTGGGCCTCTCCTCCCTTCAGTGGCCGCGGTGGCGGTGGGCTGGGTGGACCCCTGAGGACCAAGCCTTCCTGGGGCTGAGACACAGCGGTGCCCGCCCCGCCCCACGAGCCGTTATGCAGCCGCCTCTAAGAACTCTGAGGTGAACACAGCTTCTGCATAATCTTCACACATATCCTGGAGTTCAGCAGCCACGGCCCCCAGAGCTTCATCTACCAGCTCTTCTGAAAAGCTGGAAGACAAACAACACAGCTGAGGCGCGCGCCACCGCCTACGGAGTCATTCTTTCACCCAGCTGGGGAACGTCCCAAGGCCACTCTGAACTTCAAAAGGAAATTCCAAAGGCCAGAACAGCCCAGAGACTTCTGAAGAAGAAACCAGGGGAGGCTCTGCTCTCCTGGACAGAAGAGGGCCCTTGGATGTCTGAAGGCAGAGCTGCAGCCCAGCCAGCTGCCTCACTGCCCACAGAGGGAAGTGTGCCCTAAGGAGAGCGGGCAGGGTCCTCCGGGCCGGTCAGCTGCTCTTCGCCTCATGACCTGAATCTCTCCTGAAGAGTAAACAGGGTGCCTCTCAATTTCTGACATTTTTTTAAAAAAATTTATTGGGGCCAGTGCTGTGGCATAGTAGGTTGGGCTACCGCCTGCAGAGCCGGCATTGCATATGGGCACTGGTTCTAGTCCTGGTTGCCCCATTTCTGATCCAGCTCTCTGCTATGGCCTGGGAAAGCAGCAGAAAATGGCCCAAGTCCTTGGGCCCCTGCACCTGCATGGGAGACTGGGAGGAAGCTCCTAGCTCCTGGCTTCAGATCAGCCCAGCCCCAGCTGTTGCAGCCATTTGGGGAGTGAACCAGCAAATGGAAGACCTCCCTCTCTGCCTCTCAAATATATAAACCTCTCAAAGCATGATGTATTTATTTAAGAAGCGAAGAGACAAATATAGAGAGCAAGGTCCTGTCCCCTGGTTCACTTCTCAAATACTTGAAATGTCCAGGGCAGGGCTGAGAGCCAGGAACTCAAAAGCCAGGTATCCCACAAGCACAGCAGGAACCCAATTCCTTGCACCATCACAGGACAGCTGCCTCCCTCGGTCTGCACCGGCAGGAAGCTGCAAGCAGGAGCCAGAGATGGATGCTGAACTAGGTACTCCAGCGTGGGATGCTGGCATCTGATCCGCTGGGCTCTGTGCCACTCCTGTGTAACCTGTCTTTAGAAGCACATCCACCTCTGCGTTCCTGGAGAGGACCACAGCAGGGTGAGTGTCCCCTCGGGACACCATGCCCTCCATCTGTCCCATTACTAAGAACTGTCCCTCTTTCTAGTTACTACTTTCCCTTTGTAACTAAGGAGCGTACAGTTGGAAGGTCTTTGAGACTAATAAATATCCCGTTTCTCATCAAACTTGTCTGAAGCAATTGTCACAGTCACCAGACACTGACCTCCAGTCCCATCATCCCTCCCTATAATAGCTAGAATTCTGCAATGAAGGGCTTTCCCTTCTCCCTCATTTTCCGCATCACCCTGACCTTATAGATTATTCCAGGATCTGTAACGTGATTACTGCTCATTCTGCTGCTCGAAGACGCCCCTGGTGTGGATGGTGGGAGCCCCTTCACGCTGGGCACATCCTTTCTGGGACAACATGCTGTTTCAGGCTCTTTGTACTTCTTCCAGCCCGGCCCAGCCCAGCCTGGAATCAGCCACTTCTCCACGGAGCCAGCTAACTTTGGATGGAGACCAGTATTTGGAAGCCAGGAGTTGGGGGGGGGGGTGTGTGGTATAGCTGGCATTGTGATGCAGCATGTTAAGCCACTGTTGTGACGCCAGCATCCCATACTGGAGTGCCTGTCTTAGTCCCAGCTGCTCCACTTCTGATCCAGCTCCCTCCTAACGTGCCTGGGAAGCAGCAGATGACGGCCCAATTCCTTAGGCCCCTACCACCTAAGTGGAAGACTGGGATGGCTGAAAACTCAGGATTGGCAGTTTTCTTCTTTTCTAACTTTAAAAGGTTTTCCATCTTCTGCTTCTCTTTTTTGTTTCTCCAGCTGCTTTTTAAGATTTTCTCTTACTCTCTAACTTTTCAATAATACTATAATATGACTAGGTATGAATTTCCTTTTCTTGCTGGGGACTTTAGAGCTTCTTTAATCTGTGGTTTATATCTTTTTTTGAAAGTTTATTTATCTTGAAAGGCAGGGCTACAGAGAGAAAGAGAGAGAGACAGAAAAAGGGATCTCCTATCTGCTGGTTCACTCCCCAGATGGCCACAATGGTCAGCACTGGGCCAGGCTGAAGCCAGGAACCAGGAGCCTCACCCAGGTTTCCCATGCAGGTGCAGGGGCCCAACTCCTTAGGCCACCTTCCGCTGCTTTCCCAGGCCATTAGCAGGGAGCTGGGTTGGAAGTGGAGCAGCCAGGACTTGAGGATGAATTAACAACACTGGCCCCGGCTTACATCTCTTGTTTCTTGGGGGAAACGCCAGCCATCGTTCTCCTGACTCCCCGTCCTTCCCCTCTCCTGAGACTCCAGCCACACACAGTAGGTAGACCACCCTCTACCCTCCAGGTCATGTCTTCCCCTCATACAGCACCCTGGGTGTTTGCTCCTGTCCTATATCCCAAGTCTCACATTTTCTCTACTGAGCCTATACAATGCATTCTTCTTTTCACACATTATATTTTTATTCTAGAATGTATAAGTGGATTTTTTTAAATTCTCAGTTCTCTGCCAAAATTCTAGTCTTTCATTTCTATGACATCCTAGGCACAGTTGTTCTGCGTCAACCAAACAGTTTTTGATTATTTTCTGGAACTGCTGCTGGATCTCTGTTTTTGATATTGTCTTGCCTCTCTGTAGCCTGCTTTTTTTTTTTAATCATATAGAGTTACAGAAATAAGCTGACTCCTGTGATGTTATTTGCCTCCAGAGAAAATTTGTCTGCTCATGCCTGGTTCTGGGGAGCAGTAAGTCTGCAAACTCTGTGGTCCAATCTCAGGAACTGGGCTAATCTGAGTGGGGTGGCGTCTGAGAAGACCCACTTACATCCAGGGCACCCGTCCATGCACAGTGCAGCTTTTCAGGGTGAGCAAAAGTGAGCAAGTTCCCCAGGGCCATCCCCACACCTTGGCCTCGAGCCTCTGCGCTCTGGTGTGCAGACTGCTCATCCCTGTCCAGAACTGGCCAGCCTCCCAGTCTGTCTTCTCCAGGACTCTGGCCCAGTTACTCCTCATTACCAAGTTAACTTCCTCATGCCTTCAAGCACGCATGTTGGATTCTGAATACAGCTTTTCTATTTGCAGTCATCCTCAGACGAAGAGGTGATCCGAATTACCCACTAGAAACACAAGGGACTCCATCGCTTTTAGATTTGTTTCACTTCCTGCCCTTCTGCCATTAATTCATCCTCACACTTCGAGAGAAACACAAATGAACTCCCAATCTGTCCCACAACACATCAGGTAACACAGCTATAACATTCCCCACTCTACCTGAGGAATTATTCTCTTGAGTTCCTCTGTCCCCGTGCCTTCTGTATGGTCACTGAAAAACGCTTCAGCTGATAGCTTTTGTCATCTTCCTGAAAGCCCCTGGTGGATTCTGTGTTTCCTAAATCCCAAGTCTTCTTTTTTCCCCCTTTTTCTTGTTTTTAAAGACTTGTTTATTTGAAGGGAAAGTGAGAGGAGAGAGAAAGAGAGAGAGAGAGAGAGAGAGAGAGAGAGAGAGAGAGAGAGAGGTATCTTCCATCTGCTGGCTCACTCCTCAAATGACCACAAAGGCTGGGTTAGTCCAGGCCAAAGCCAGAAGCCCAGAGCTTCTTCCGGGTCTCCCACACGGGTGCTGGGACCCGAGTACCTGGGCCATCCTCCACTGCTTTCCCAGGCACGTTAGCAGGGAGCTGCACTGAAGCGGAGCCTGTGTGGGACGCCGGGACTGTAGGCAGCAGCATGGCTCACTGTGCTGGCCCTCCCTTCTTAATGTACGCCCAGCGCGAGAGGCACATATCTTCCAGTATCTTGCTGAGAAACAGTGCCAGGATACTAAGTTCCTGGACACCCTGCATCCATACAGATACTTTTAGTCTATTCTTATCTTTCAATTGATAATCTAGCCGAGCACAAAACTCTAGGTTAAATTTTGCAAGTATGTTCTAGCACCTTCTAGCTCTCAGTGTGGTTACTGAGAACAAGATGCCACCCTGATTCCTGATGTTCACGTGTTTGCAGTTTTCACTCTCTGGAATCTCCTGTCAGCTTCTCCTTACACTGGGATGCTCAAGTTCCTTTCAGGACGACGTGCCATGGTGCAGTCCATTCAATTCACTCACTATTTACAGTGGGCAACTGGGGAACTTCTTCCAGATAAAGACTAACAGCCTTCTGGGAAATCTCCTTATAGTATTTCTTTGATAATTTCCCAATTCTCCTTTTTACCTTTTGCTACATTCTGGAATTCCTATTACTTAGATTTTGAATCTCCTCAAAAAACCCTATAATTAAAAAAAAATCTTTTTTATTATCTAGTGCCTTGGTTTTTCACTCTACTGCCTCAGAGAGCTGGCATTTTTCTTTAAAACCTCTGGTGAATTTATTTCAGCCGTGACTTTTTTATTCCGGAAAACTTTCCAAGTTCCTTTTTTACAGTCTCCTGTTGTTGTTTTCTAACAGCTTCGTTTAGCTCTCCGAGGATCTCACCTGTGGGCTGTTTGTTCTGAGTGCTTTATTCTGCTCCCTGCATAGCCTCTGGCTCCTCCGAGCCCTTCAATCTGGCACAGCAGCCTGTATATCTTTCCCAGGTCCCATCATGCATCTGGTCACCTCAGCTACTGGCTCATTTTCAAGAATCGGAATTCCAACCAAGCTTCCCACTTCCTGGCGCGCTGCATCCAAGGCCTTCACACACATCTCAATGCCCGAGTCTCGGCAAAGTTCTGTGTGACACAGCTGGCTCCTGGCTGCGCGCTCACCGTGCACTGTGCTTCCCTTGGCCTGCCGGATCACTTGCCATTTCTCTACCTTGTTTTCTGGATTCCAAATGTTGTCTGATACTTCTTGTTTGCTGTCATTTATGGTTTCATGCCTTTGACTCTTTTAGTGGTATGTAGTGGCACAGGAATGCAGGGAGTAGAGATAAATACACATACATGTTCAATCTTTTTGAGCCAGAAATCTGTTGTTTTTTTTCAAAACCAAGAATCCTTAGGAGTTCACTTTCACCAAAAATACGAACACCTTAAATCTTCCCTTCCATAATCATTCTTTCACGTGCATCGAACTGACCCCATCTGCCCAGTCTGAGGACAAAACAGGGGAAAGGCGGAACGGACAGAAAAGAAAGACAGAAGCTCAGGTGGCTTCCCCTTACCCAAGAGGCCATCAGAAGAGAAGTCCACTGTCTTTGAATATGCTTTGCAAGATATGGTCAGGAAAACTCACAATGAGAATAAAAATGAGACAGAAAAATCATCAGAGCTAGAACATTCAGATGAACCGTCATGTGGTGTCAAAGGACAGCAGTAGAAAATACACATAAAAATCTAGGCATAATCTAACTGCTCTGTCCTCCAGATGTTAACCCTTTACTCCCCACAGGCCGAGGCAACTATGAACAAAATGTATCATCTGACAGGTGGAAAGAACTAATCTCCCTGGCTTGCTTTTGGTTTTCTCAGTATGCCTACCAGCTAACAGTCCCAGACAGCCCGTGGGAATATGAGTGAGTCTGCTACTGGGCCATGTGTGAATCCATACGTGCACGTCAAACGGACTTCTCTTGCTCAGAAAGCCCTTTAGAGCACCCGTGAAGACAAATGTGCTCACCACCAGAACACAGCATCTTCTGTGCTTTGAAGGGTCCCACCTATCAAAGAGAACCCTCAAGCTTGGGTTAACCCAAGGACTTAAACACAAGTGATTGCCCTGACCTTGCTCAAGAGAAAAAAAGACAAAAGTAGATGAAAAGTGTCCAGAACTGTCAGAAGGGTAGAGCACTGGGAAGAGTCCTGAGGCCGCAGTAAAAAGGCAGTGGAGAGGGAGCTGAGACCTGGGTCTGCAGGGGTCACAGAGGCAGCCTGCGGGCTGGGCTGGGCATGAGGGGGCTGCTGAGGATCTGCAGAATGAGAAAGCCTGCAGCTCCATCAGCAGCCACAGGGATGGATCTACCCTACTGGCAGCGAGGTGACCGTTCCTTCACCACCCTCACAAGAGGAGGAAAACACTCTGAAAAAAACATGCCAGTAATTGTACTCTCAGCCAAATCATCAATCAAGGGCTGTATCTAAAGCCCTTCAATCAAGAATGAGGGCAGACTTTCAAAGGATAAGCTCCATCAAAACAAGAGAACATGGGCCGGCGCTGTGGAGTAGCAGGTAAAACCACCGCCTGCAGTGCCAGCATCCTATATGGGCACTGGTTCCAGTCCTGGCTGCTTCACAGAGATCCAGCTCTCTGCTATGGCCTGGGAAAGCAGTAGAAGGTGGCCCAAGTCCTTGGGCCCCTGCACCCGCGTAGGAAGACCCAGAGGAAGCTCCAGGCTCCTGGCTTCAGCTGTGGCCATTGCGGCCAAATGCAGAGTGAACCAGTGGAGGGAAGACCTCTCTCTCTCTCTCTCTGCCTCTCTTTCTTGCTCTGTGTAACTCTTTCAAATAAATTAATAAATCTTAAAAAAAAAAAAAGAGGGGCCAGCACTGTGGCACAGCGGGTTAACGGCCTAGAATGAAGCGCTGGCATCCCATATGGACACCGGTTCAAGACCCAGCTGCTCCACTTCTGATCCAATTCTCTGCTATGGCCTGGGAAAGCAGTAGAAGATGGCCCAAGTCCTTGGGCCCCTGCACCTGCATGGGAGACTTGGAAGTAGTTCTTGGCTCCTGGCTTAAGATTGGCGTAGTTCCAGCCGTTGCGGCCAATTGAGGAGTGAACCATTGGATGGAAGACCTCTAGGAAGGAAGGTGGATGGAAGATCTCAGGTGGGAGGGAGGGAGGGAGGGAGGGAGGAAGGGAGGAAGGAAGGAAAGAAGGGAACCAAGAAAGAGAACCAAGAAAGAGGAAGACAAGGGCACCAGGACACAAGGTATCAGATACGGTGGTGACGACGGAAGTCCCAGGCAGAGTGGCCACAGGCCAGATGGGCTAAGGTGGAAAGACAGCCTCCGGAGGAAAAGTCAGGGTGGGGTGCAGAAGCAGGGGTTAACTGGTGGTGTTGGTCATCAGAAAAATTCTAGGAAGAGGCTGTTGGCTAGTGTGTGGGGGAATGTTCATAAATATATAAAAGAATAAAAAACTAAAGAAGCAATGATTAACTCCTGGAACACGCTTACCACTTGTTCAACAAGGAAATACAATCACAGCACACTCCCTGGCTCGGTGATGACAAATGTCGTGTGTGTGTAATAAGGTATACTCATGAAGAATGTAAATATGGGCACTGTTTAAAAAGAGCAGATTCACACATCTTTTCATGAAGTATTTCCTACAGACTGAAGGCTGCTCCTTCAAGTATTTAGCAGCTGCAGGACGCTGTTCCGTGAGTCCGCAAAGCTCCCTTTCCCAGGGAGGAGAAGGGTAATGGGAATGCGGCAGGGCAGAGGCTGCTGTTTGTGAAGGCATGTGCGCCCCGACCACGGAGATGCGTGATTGTGACTGCTTCCTGCCCAGCAGTATTTACGTTCTCCGAAGAGACATCACACTCACCAAGAGCGACAGAAAATTAGCCCTGATGTGATTCCTGAACACTGCTCCTCAGCGGTCAGGGGCTGAGTGTTTATGTCCTCCTAAAGTCCCCATGCTGATGCCCTCACTCCCAGCTGATGGTATCTGGAGATGGGGCCTTGGACAGGTAGTTAGGCTCAGGTGAGATCAAGATGGGCGGCCTCACGATGGGGCGACTGCCTCTGTAAGAAAGGGAAGAGCCCAGAGCTCCCTCTCTGCTACATGAAGACAGAGCAAGAAGGTAGCTACAGGCCAGGCAGAGGGCCCTCAGCTGACACCAAACCTTCCAGGACTCTCATCTTATATCTTCTAGTCTCCATGGTGTTTTACGGCAGCCCGAGCCGACAAGAGAGGGCTACAGGGCACTCCTGTGGGTGATAGCCCTGCTGTCTTATGGTCTTTTGCAGCTGAAAAAGGCAGTTAGCAGAGAAAGCCCAAGAACAGCCATTACAATTCCTGGCCCAAAAGCATGGGCTGAGACCGCCAGGCTTTCTGGAAGTGTAAAATGTGGCACTTGCTTCTTTTTTTTTTTTTTTTTTTTTTTTGACAGAGTGAGAGAGAAAGGTCTTCCCTCCGTGGTTCACTGACCAAATGGCCACCACGGCCAGCACTGCGCCAATCCGAAGCCAGGAGCCAGGTGCCTCCTCCTGGTCTCCCATGTAGGTGCAGGGCCCAAGCACTTGGGCCATCCCCCACTGCCCTCCCGGGCCACAGCAGAGAGCTGAACTGGAAGAGGAGCAACCGGGACTAGAACCCAGCGCCCATATGGGATGCTGGCACCACAGGTGGAGGATTAACCAAGTGAGCCATGGCGCCGGCCCCAGGCACGTGCTTCTTAAACAGGGGCGTGTGGCATCTCACTCACCTTTCAGCTATCAGCCACGGGTTGAAGCCACCCACAGCCTCATGAGATACCATCCGGAGGTACTGCTCAAATCGGCTGCAGTAGTCACCAATGCTGCACAGCATGCCCGGGGGGACCAAGAGGGGCGTTCGGCCTTCTCCCGGCTGGGAATCTTCTGCAAGCAAGTGGAGGGGAGCCCCTCTTTCCTCTGATCTCTCCTCCATTCCCAAACTTTCATCCAGAGAACTGAGGATGAAGAAAAAGGAGAGACATTCAAAAGCACCTGTAAGTAAGGTAAACTGTGAACTTATTCTGACAGCTTCCTAACCAAAGCCTCACCCTTCATTTCTTTCTCACAATGAACACAACGCAACATCTCACCATTCACTGTTTCCCTTTGTCACAGGACTGCCCTTCATACAAAAGAATTTTCCAGCAAATCTTGCAGTATACATATCCACACACTCACAGGGACCAACGCGGTGCTTCCACTGCTGAAGCCAGCTAAGTGCTACCTCATACCAGAAGGCTCCTCCAGTTAAAAACACTCAGTGCTCGCCATTTTCATGTACTATCTTACTGAGACATCTTTGGAGTTTGGCAAGATCTTTTTTTTTTTTTTTTTTTAAATACTGATTTATTTATTTTTGTGAAAGTCAGATTTACAGAGAGAGGGAGATCTCCCATCTGCCAGTTCACTCCCCAAACTGCCTGGATGGGTCAGGCCAAAAGCCAGGCTCCAGGAACTTCATCTGGCTCCCAAGTGGCTGGCAAAGGCCCAAACACTTGGGCCATCTTCCACTGCTCTTCCTAGGCCCTTAGCAAAGAGCTGGATCAGAAGAAGGAGCAGCCTGGACATGAGCCGGCATCCATATGGAATGCCAGCGTCACAGGCGGCGTCTAAACCACTACGCCACAACGCTGGCCCAAGATCTTGCTTTTAGACAAGAATTTCTGTCTATCTTTGGGAGACTGTAGGAATTCAAATTTAACAACATCAAAGGCAACCAAGCAGCCATCACTCACTTGCCATTGCAGGGTCTCTCCAGCATGATATTCACGGTTCCCTCCTTGTGGGCCACTGTCTTGGTGATCTTGATCGGCTGAGGAGCCAGAGGCCTCTCATTTACTGCTGGGACTTTCTGGTCTGGAAGAGGGAAGGCATAACATGGCTGTTGATGAAGGGAAGTCCATGGCCACATGAGAGCTGTGCTAGTGTCCAGCGACCTGTGAGAAAGTCACCTGCTGTCTCTTAAGCCCAGGGGGATGGAAAAAGTGCTGATTTCAAATGCAAACCAATCAAGAACCAGTTTTACACAATATGGAACTCCTTCAGAAGCTTCGGCTTGTTCTTGGGGAGGCTTCTCCAGGAGGTCTGTGCAAAGCCCCCGGCTAGGCAGCTTTCTTAGGACCTGGCCACCCACTCAAGGAGCCTTAAAAGTAGTTCCGTTTGTTTTTTAGCCTTGAAATGCTTTGATTACCACACACACCTGAGCATTTAAATAGCTGATTTAATTTGATTCTGGGCATCCCAGGGAAAATCTGCCTAATGAGAATCAAAACATTAATTTATTAACTGTAACTTGCATGTTTATCAGCTCTTCTGCGATTTCGATTACTTCTAATTTTAAATGTATTTCACAGGAGAAATTCTGTCCTCTTTGGTAGAGGGAGCATTGACATGTCAGTGACTTTCTCTGACTCACTGGTATGCGCCTGATTTCTTACTGTCAGAAACGCTGCTTAAGTCAGCTTTGGGGAAAGCATCACTGTGAGTACAACCAACTTCAGCTGTCAGAGGGTAAAAGCCGAGGCATGCACAACCCAGAGACACTCGAAATGCAGTTGTGATGTGATGGAACAATCAGAACAGTGGGAGACATGGGATTCCTGCTATGATGTCATGGTTCTGGAATTACAAGTGTCCAAGAACTCATTTCAGGTCTCAGTGTTCAAAGAGCTCCTCCTGTGAACGCACACCTAGACTGTGCAGTCACTGACAGTGACTCATGATTCAGATCAACCTTGAAGGAAGAGAACACCAAGTCCTCTGTGTCTTCTACATGATGCAACCTAACTCTGTGGCCAACGCCAAGCCATCCGCGAAGCCAACTGCCCCGTCCTGTTGCCTTTTCCTCTGCTTCCCAACAAAACAGCACTGAAGTGTCCAGGCCAACTAAACAATGACTAGAAGGGGCCTTGCTGGGGAGTGAACCAGCCCCATGCTAGGCACAGTGGGGCACACAAATGATTATGACAAACTCTCTGGCCTCACTGAATCAGCGGCTTCGTTGGGAGAGGGATGACGCCTTTACAAACAACTCCAGCACAGAAAATGCTATGGGAGTTCACAGGCCAGGAACGGGGCAGAGGAGTAAGGTTCCAACCTCGGGACAGCAGGAAGGCACTACACCGGACCCCACGTTTGGTGCCTTAGCTGTTCAATGCCACGTGGGGATGAACACGGAGCAGCCACGGTGCCGAGAAGAAGAGAGAACGCCAGCTACCACGAGACACAGTGCTTGGAAACTCCAGGAAACAGCAAAGGGACTCGTTAGCATTCTCTTCTCTCTTCAGACAGCTCATCTTTCTGTCAAAAGTTCATCTGGAGGAGGCTTTTCTAATACCTTATTCATATTTAAAAAAAAACTGCAAGTGACATATGGAGGACTTCAGTTCATGCAAAGTGGAAATAAATGATACATTTATTTTGGTGCAAAACAATTTCCCATTTATCTGTACTATGCATTGCCCATGAACTTGGCTCACACGTGTGCATTTCAACACTGCTTTGCACTACAATGAACTGACCTTTTAATCCCGTTTTCCACGGCTTTCTGAAGTGCCGTGCGTGCTACTGCTGTAAACTTCCCACAGCCCCAGTGTCTGTTACACCTTTCAGTGAGTGGGTAAGTGCAGTACACAATTCCCTCAGAGGCAGTGCCAGCCTTCACGAGGAAGGCAGGCAACAAGCGTGGTCAAGGAGGATCTGATCGGTGTCTCCCCAGGCAAAACCGTGACAGCAGTGAGGAGACTGCAGCCAGCACAGGCATGTATGAATTGTGAAAAGCAAGCTGTTTCAACAAACGAGGCCAAGACAAGTGGTTATCCACAGAAAGGAACAAAGAATTTCACCCTCTACCTCAGACAACTGGCATTACTCAAGATGGAGCACAGCCCGAAACATAAGAGCTAAAATCATAAAGCTTCGGAAAAAACCAAGAGAGTATCTTCTCAACTTGGGGGCAGGAAGGGAAAGGTTTCTTACATTAGAGAAAAGCAAAAACCATCCAAGAAAAAACTGGTTAGACTTCATCCAAGTTAAAAATGTCTGTTCCAAATAAAATGCCTTCGAGGGGCTGGCGCTGTGGTACAGCAGGTTAACGCCCTGGCCTGAAGCGCCGGCATCCCATATGGGCACCGGTTTGAGTCCCGGCTGCTCCACTTCCGATCCGGCTCTCTGCTATGGCCTGGGAAAGCAGTAGAGGATGGCCCAAGTCCTTGGGCCCCTGCACCTGCATGGGAGACCCAGAGGAAGCTCCTGGCTCCTGGCTTTGGATCGGCACAGCTCCGGCCTTGAGGCCAATTGGGGAATGAACCAGCGGATGGAAGACCTCTCTCTCTCTCTCTCTCTCTCTCTCTGTGTGTAACTCTTTCAAATAAATAAATATTCTAAAATAAATAAATAAAATAAAATGCCTTCGAGAACATAAACAGGTGGGGCACAGAAGGAAAGGAATGTACATCCATAAAACATCTGTGTGAGTGGATGCCAGGGCTGGGGACTAACGGGGAGTGACTGCTGACGGACACAGGGTTTCTCCTGGAGAAATTAACACAATAGTGAGGGTTGTACAACCATGAGGATATTCTAAAAACTAATGAGTCGTGCACTTTAAAAGGCTCCATTTAGGGGTGGGCACTGCAGCACCGTGGATGGAGCTTCCACTTGGGAAGCCTTATCAGTGCTCGGTTCAAGTCCAGCTGTTCCACTTCCAATCCAGGTTCTTGCTGATGTACATCTAGGGGGCAGCAGGTGACAGCTCAGGTACTTGGGTCCCTGAAACCCATGTGGGAGACTTGGATGGTGTTTGAGGCTCCTGGTTTATCTGGGTCCAGCTCTGGCTGTTGCAAACATTTGGGAAGTGAACCAATGGATGGAAGATCTCTGTCTCTCTCTTTTCAAATAAATTAAAATTAAAATTAAAAAAATTTTTAAAAATTTTCAAATAAATCTTTAAAAAGAGAGAGGCAAGTTTATTTTGGTATGAATTTTTAAATAGATGCATCCTACATGAATATATTCATAGCAGACTGATTCCTAACAGCCTCAAACCATAAACAGTCAAATGTAAATCCAAAGGGAAATGAGTAAACCAGATGTGGCATATGCAGAAGATGGAACACTATACAGCAAAAAACAACAACAACATAAAGTAAGCATAAGAGCATGTGGAAGGATGAAAAATGGCCTGCAAGATATCCACTTCAAGGTCTCTGGAACCTGTGAATGCTGCCTTCCATGGCAAAGGGACTCTGGTTAAGGATCGTGAGATGGACAGAGTATCCTGGGTTATGGGCCCTCATAACAGGCAGGCAGAAGGCAGAAGAGCTGACTACAGAAGAGGAAAAGGCAACTGTGACGACAGAAACGCACTGGACTAATGAGGTCACAGGTTAAGGAACGGCAGTAGAAGCTGGAAGGGACAAGCAGCAGGTTCTGCCCCAGGGCCTTCCAAAGAAACCAGCCCAGCCGCCACCTTGACTTCAGCCCCTCAAGGCTCACTTCTCATTTCCAACCTCCAGAACTATGAAAATAAATCTGTTTTAAGTCACAAAATATGAGCCTTAAACTCATTACAAACAAAAGTTTGTTAGAGCAGTAAAAGGAGATATAAGTATGAGGGGAGGAACCGCTATATTCCAAGAGCTGGACCTACGTAATTTGTATTTGTTAAATAAAACCTTTCTAAAAAAAAGAGATATAACGTAGATAAATCTTTGAAACACTACTGAAATCTACATAAGAGTACATACCATGTGACTGCATTTATATGAAACTGAAGAACACTCAAAACTAATTAAAAAAAAGCAAGTGGTTGCTTGAGTGTTGGCGCAGACAGCAAAGGGCCTGAAGGAACGTCATGAAGTGAGGATGATAAAGTCTATATCTGATAGACAAACATGTACCCATCTGTAAAACCCATCAAAGGACATAATTAAGATCTGGGTGGGAGGAGGTGTTTTAGTCCAGCAGTTAAGATGACCATATCCCACACTGGAGTACCTGGGTTCAAGTCCTGACTCTAGCTTCCTGCTGCTGCAAACCCTGGGAGGCAGTGGTGATGGCTCAATAACTGGGAGCCTGCCACCCACGTGGGAGACCTGGCTGAGCTTCCTGCTTTCAGCTTTGGCCTGACCTGGCCCTGGCCACTGCAGGCTTTGGGGGAGTGAACCAGCAAATGGGAGCTCTGTCTGTCTTTGTCTCTTTTTATTTCTGCGTCTCTTTGCCTCTCAAATGAAAGCAAAGTCTGTGTGTATTTTATCTCAAAAGGAAAAAAGAACCAAAAATAGTTATTACACTCTAGTAGAGTATGCCTGCTGCATATTTAGGGGTGAAGTGTATCCACATCTGTAACTACTTCGAATATAAAGATGAAATGACAGAGGGACAGATACGTAGATAGGTGATAAAGAATAAAGAAACATGTAGAATCCAGGGTTGGGTAAACGAGTGTTCCTTGTACAAATTTTTCAGCTTTCCCGTATATCAGAAGCTGTTTCAGAATACAGTGTTGGGAAGAAAGTGGGGGAAAAACTTACCATTATTTTCTTCATGCATCCAAAAATGAGGATCCGCATACACAATTTTATTATATCTCTGGCGAACTGTCTCCTGGTATTTCTTTAAAACAAAATTTATGAGAAAAAATGAGAACCAGAACTACTGAGGAAGGAAAAGTTCAGCAGACACAATCACACAGCGTCAGACACGATGTTCACAGACATTGTTCACTGGGCATTTGCCAGGCCAGGAAGTGATGAGTTCATGAAGTGAAGTCTAGAGCAAAATACAATAACTGACAAAACCGCAATCCAGACCAGCACTGTCCACCAGAGCCTGCTTTGATGATACAAGGGTCTACCGTGCGCCCTGACCAGTACATCAGCCACTAACTATGGGCCACCTCCAGTGGGCTTCACTCTTAATTAGTGTGCACTTCAACAGGCTAATGTGGCTGGTGGCAAACGTTTTAGACAGCTTAGGTCTGGACAGTTACTGCCTCCAAAAGGGAAATCAGTTAAAGACGGCCTATCCACAAATAACTGTATTCCTCAAAATATTTCTACTTAGCAGCAAAGAAAAAAATGAAATATAATTGCATACAATTAAAAATAAAATGGCAAATCAGAAACTGGGAGACCTAGATCCACATCCTGTCTCTCCCAGAAACTGTTTTGTGTTCTTAGCCATGCCATTTATTCCCTTAGTGTACCTCAATTTCCTGCTCTGAACGATCCAGGCATTGAAATGGCTGACTGTCTGAGGTCTAAAACTTTACGGGAGAAGTGCTGCAAACACAGTGTGGAAACTAACAAAGGTGACAGGGCCACACGCCAGCAAGGCAGCAGAGGCAGCTGCACAGCACGTACAAGCTCCTGGGTGGAAGTCTATGGGCCCACTGTGGACCACTCTGCAGTCCTGAGTTTGTAATCACAAATCAGTGGTATCAGGGGATAAGAAGACAGTGTGCTGACCATTTTATACTTCATTTTATGCTTCTAAACACCATGCTTAAATAGAGAAGGTACGTGACTGTGTCAAGGTCACACACTTGGATGGCGGCAGAGCTGGCCGTCAACAGAGGTGAGTCCCCCATAGCAAACCAGACCAGCAGCCTCAGGCCTTACTTCCATTTCCTCCATTCGGCGCATCATCGTCTCCAGGTCTGGGCTGTCCTTGCTGTCCCCCAAGGTGGCTAAGGTTTCAGACCCCAAGATCTTAGCATGAGTCATAGCCCAGAGCTCATGAGCGGTATTTTCCAGAAAATCATCCAGCTGATGAATGTTGTTGGCTCCAGAATCAACAGCTGTAGCCTGTAAAGTAAGGGTGGGAGGAAGGGATGGCAAGGCAGCACAAAGAAAACAGAAAAGCTTAAAGGTAACTGCTGAGCATGACAAACCAACAGCACGGTGATCCCACTGACAGACCTGCCATGCTAAACAAAGCTCTCCTAACTCAGTAAACATCAAAAGCAGTAACACTGGCACAATTTTTATCCTGGTGATGGATTTAAATAGCAGCATTAACCAAGTAATACCATTACTGTCCATGCAAATTATCATTATCATCTATTTTGCCAGTGGTTAGAACAAACATCTTCTCCTTGCTATATTCAGGAATATGTTCAACATTTTCCATGTCACATACTCCAAAGAACATAGTCACTCTCTTTTGGTTCAATGCTTCTGTAAAAACATCTGTTCTCTTCGGGACTCCTCTTTGTGTGAGAGACTCTGTATCTATAAACTGCCTTTAACTCTATCTACAAACACCAGCCCTTCTTGACCTTGTATCCTTTATATTCACAAATAACTTTTGCAAAGCATTTCTTTTTAAGAATTAGTTATTTACTTGAAATGCAAAGTTAAAGAGAGAGAGAGAGAGAGAGAGACAGAGAGAGAGATTCCATCGCTGCTTCATTCCCCAAATGGCTGCAACAGCAGGAGCTGAGCCGATCTGAAGCCAGGAGCTTCTGCTAGGTCTCCCATGTGGGTGCAGGGGCCCAAGCACTAGGGCCACTTCTGCTGCCTTCCCAGGCACATTAGCAGAGAGCTGGATCAGAAGTGGAGTAGCCAGGACTCGAACCAGTTCCCATATGGGAAGCTGGTGTCCCAGGTGGCCTAACCCACTCTGCTACAATGCCAGCCCCTACATTATTTCTTTTAATTCTAGTACATGTCTACAATCTGCTCCAAAAGAGGCTTTTGCCAAGAATACCGGCTGGGGAAAGGATCCTGTAAGGATCTGCAATGGTGGTTACCTGACCTGTCTGTCTCAGTCCTCTCATCCGTAAGATGGAAATAATCTTTCATCTCAGAGCCGTAAGGATTTCACAAGAGCCTCATATGGGACACTCAGCACAGTGCTTGGCTTGGCACAAGTAAGACTCAATGAATGGTTATTACTATAGTGATTTTAACAGGCTGGACACTGTGGCACAGCAGGTTGAGCCTCTGCTTGGGACACCCATATCCCATGTCAGAGTGCCAGTTCGAGCCCCAACTACTCTACTTTCCATCTATCCTGCTAATGTTCCTGGGAAGCAGCAGGTGATGGTTCAAGTACTTGAGTCCCTGCCACCCACGTGGGAGACCTGGATGGAGTCCCTGGCTCCTGGCTTTAGCCTGGCGCAGACCAGGCTGTTGCAAATAGAGAAGGATTTTTAAAAAAAGAAACAACAACAACAAAATCCCACCTTTTAACAATTCACAGAAGAAAATATATTGATGCTCAATAGAGAAATGAAAATATTTCCAGCTTTAATCAGTTAAACAAAATCCATTAGAATAACCTATAGAATAAAACTACACACACACACACACACACACACAGATGTAAAGACAACTCAGTTCAACGATCGAGCCTTAACTACGTGTGTGTCTGCATGTGTAACATCTTGCATCTGTAATAAACGGAACACCGAGAGCACTATGTGGGGTCAGAGAGAGAAGGAAGGTCTCGAGTGCTGGTATGGAAAGAGCATGGGGCACAGCACAAAGAAGCACAGTGGTGCACAGTGGCACACGGCGCTGTCTGTGGAGAGGCTTAGCTCTTCGTATGCTACCTGCCCTGAACTGTTTCAATTCTTGGCCACACGCATCCATGGCTTTTAATTCCACAGAAGCACATAGGTTTGGGGAAGCTATGTTTCCGGTGTGGGTTTAGTTACTGCCACGAGCAGCAGCAACAGACAGACGTGTCATGTGGTGCCATTACAAAAGCTCTTCCTGACACCAGGGATCTCCCTGTCTGTAAGCAGATCTGTGGAGAGCTGCAGTGTGAGCAGAATAAAGCAAAGATCTCCATTTTTAACATCAGAATTTGTGTTTGAGGCCCCACAGCTCTCTTATGAACTAACACGGTAAGAAACATGAGATTTCTACTTCATCATGCCAGCTCCTCTTGAGTTCGCTTTTATTCAGTCAATAAACACTGACTCTTCATTGTGCTGCTGGGAAACTCTGCGAGGACGGTGATGTGCACAGCAGCCCGGAATTCTAAAGAGTAGGTACAGCTGCTTTTCTCATCTAATACATTGTTTTTAAAGACCAGTTAATGCCTACTGAATAATTCTTATATTCATGGCTGATCATCTGTAGTAATAGTCAAACATGTCTATTTCACTGCCAACATTTATAATCACTTCCTTTTCCTTTCATATTAAAATGCCATAAGGAGTTCTTCAATGTTAGCTTCATTATTTTGCTAGAAAACAAAAATAATTTAGTGGCCATGCTGCATAAAACACTAACCCGCAGCACGCCTGAATCTGTAGTGGTCCAACTCGGGCTTTTACCTTCCTGTCTTCAAGGCCTCACCTCACAGGAGAGTGTTACAAGACACTGCTTTGATAACATTGCAATCACAAAGATTATGAAAATAAGCTGCAGCTAAAATACTGCTTAAAAATTAGAAGAGGGATACGTTTTCAAAATCTGCCTGCCTCCATCCTCAGGGCCACTGGGCTGGTGGGACCCCATCCCAGTGTCCGTCTAACTCTGACACATCCGTCCTGCTCTTTCACATCTCTGAGCAACTCGAGCAATGGCCGCCTTCCCAGCCCCCACAAAGACGAAACACACACAGCCTGTACCTTCTGCTGCACAGCCCCAGCGGGCAGGAGCCACACACTCCCACAAACACTTACACCGAGTCCTCAGAGGAACAGCACAGGGTGGACCGTAAGTAAAGTATGTTTTTATTCTTCCTAAATACTTTCATTTTTTTCTAGGCCTTCTTTTCTCTCTTCTAGGTGAGATACTAGCCACCTACCAGGCACTCAAAACATGCCGTCTCACAATAAGCATTAGGCTGGTGTACAAAGGAAATCAGGCCAGTAACGAGTGAAAGCAGGCTGAATGAAAGGAAATGAGGGCAGCCACTCTTCAGCTGCGGCCGTCAACACTCGGGCCACACGGTGCACCCACTCTGTCACTGGGCGGGGAGATAAACAGCCACTGACAAAAACCTCTGGCCCAGGGATGCCTGTATCCTGTTGGTTAAGGCTGACCTAAATCATAATGCTGAATACACACTATAAGAATTAACATGCCAAATATGAAAAATAATTTCACATTTTTAAGGCTTATTTATTTGAAAGGCACAGTGAGAGGGAGAGACAGAAAAGAGAGAAAGAGAGACAGACAGACAGACAGAGAGAATCTTCCCTCCACTGGTTCATTCCTCAAATGGTGACAACAGCCAGGGCTGGGCCAGGCCAAAGGCAGGAGCCAGGAACTCCATCCAGGTCTCCCACGTGGGTGGCAGAGCCCAACTACTTGGGCCATCATCTACCATTTCCCAGGCACTTTATCAGGAAGCTGACTGGAGGCAGAGCAGCTGGGACTCAAACCATCTGGGATGCTGGTATTACAAGCTTAACTTACTACACCACAATCGAGCCCATTCCACCCTTCTTGAGTAGGATATTCTAGTGTTTGCAAAGCAAACTGAGTATCATTTTCTTCCTAACTGAAAACATTACCATGTAATAGTACCAGAATCCCAACACCGGACAACACACACCTCCTCTGCAGGCTGGGCTGTCGTCGGGTCCGCTGAGGGGTAATCCTCCAGCTGAGTATTTGCTTTCACAGAAGAGCTGTCTCGCTATTAAAACAGACGAATTCACGGATTATAACAATTTTTTCTTTTTTCTTACAGGTAGAGTCATAGATAGTGAGAGAGAGACAGAGAGAAAGGTCTTCCTTCCGTTGGTTCATTCCCTAAATGGCCGCCACGGCCGGAACTACGCCGATCCGAAGCCAGGAGCCAGGTGCTTCCTCCTGGTCTCCCATGCGGGTGCAGGGCCCAAGCACTTGGGCCATCCTCCACTGCCCTCCCAGGCCACAGCAGAGAGCTGGAAGAGGAGCAACTGGGACTAGAACCTGGCGCCCATATGGGATGCCGGCACCGCAGGCGGAGGATTAACCAAGTGAGCCACAGCGCCAGCCCCTCGGATTATAACAATTTACAACTCCTATTAGCAGAAATGAACTCTGCGACCAGAGTCACTTTTGTGTGCAAGAATTCATCAGTTTTAGTGACACTAAGCTTTCTGCAGAACTTCAAGGCACTTTATGAACACAGATGTCATGTGTTGGCCTTGGATTTCCACCCTTTTTCCCCTCTTAATTCTGCAAACACTGCCTGAGTTAGCTGTGCGTATCATTCAATTCCAGCTCCACGGCTCCCACGGTGACATCATCAGGCTGGACAACCTGACAACCAAAAGCCCTCCTAATTCAATACTCCTGAGATTTCCACAGACTCTCATCATGATAATGTAACATTTCCTAAACTAGAAATGCAAACATTCAGGGACACAGAACGTCATTCATTCCATTTAAGCTTATATTCTTCTGTGACCTCAACTACTCAAGCAAAATTGTTTCTGTTCCCAGGATTCTATTCCCAAGGTCTGGCCACAGAACCTAGCTTTGCAGCTTTAGGGGGATGGCAAGGTCTCCTGGTGACGCCATGTCATTTCATCTTTAGCAAAGTGCTGGTATGTGCACAGAAGCAATCCTCACACCTCTCTGCTTTGGAAAAACAGAACCAATCATTCCAAACCACTGAGGCGGAAGAGGACAGCAGTAGACTGGAAGCGGCTGCCTGAACACTAACAACACACCTATTTGGTTAGGAATGGGAATTGTAACCTACACTCATTCTCCAAACTGAAAAACTCATCCTTTGCAAAAGTGGGACTCTCCTCTGCTCCCCTTTAGCTCCACCCCTCTCCTGGAGTGGAGGACACAGCCGAGTGTGCGGTGGCCTGGGGTGTCCACAGAGGCCCTGCAGCACTGTGCCCAGGGCTCTCCACTGCACTCTGAACGGCACTGCAGCCTCCAGCTGCCAAAGAGACTCAGCCCTAAAGGGGTCAGGGTAGCCTCTGCAGCAACTCTCCTCATTCTATCACTTCCCAAAGACAAGCGGTGAGATGAACTCCATTACCTGTGCCTTGACCAAGAGGGGCTTCAAACGCTCCAGCACGGCCTCCTCTACCTTGTCTGCTAACTGGGTGGCAGAAACACTGTTTAGAAAACAAAAAAAAGATTAAAATCAAAAGCAAAAAAACATCCTATTGTGAGTATTTATTTACTTAGGTGAAGAGAAATCAACTGATTATAAATAACACAGTGCTCCTCAGACCTTAGTGGCCATCTAAACCCCGGGGACGTGTTAAAACGCAGATGTTGATAGAAAGGCTTGGAGCAAGGCCAGGGATGGCAACACTGTGGGGCCTGGACCCTCTGAGTGGACAAGAGCTTAGAGAACATCTGAAGAAGTATGACAGGCTCTGAACAAAGAGGGTGGCACAGTGAATAAAATAAATTCTTTTTTTTTTTTTTTACAGGCAGAATTAGACAATGAGACAGAGAGACAGAGAGAAAGGTCTTCCTTTCCATTGGTTCACCTCCCAAATGGCTGCTGTGGCCAGCGTACAGTGCCTATCCAAAGCCAGGAGTCAGGTGTTTCTCCTGATCTCCCATGGGGTGCAGGGCCCAAGCACTTGGGCCATCCTCCACTGCCCTCCCGGGCCACAGCAGAGAGCTGGCCTGGAAGAGGAGCAACCAGGACAGAATCCGGCGCCCCGACTGGGACTAGAACCCGGGATGCCGGCGCTACACAACCTGCACTGCTGACTAAACAAAATGTGTGACTGGGGTGCCAGGTGCCTCTAAGGCCTGGAATAAACTGGGAAGAGGTGGCCAAAGATGGATGACAATAGTCAAATGATGGGGGCCGGCGCTGTGGAGTAGTGGGCTAAGCCTCCACCTGTGGAGTTGGTTCAAGTCCTGGCTGCTCATCTTCCAATCCAGCTCTCTGCTATGGCCTGAGAAAGCAGCAGAAGATGGCCCAAGTCATTGGGCCCCTGCACCCACGTGGGAGACCTGGAAGAAGCTCCTAGCTCCTGGCTTTAGATCGGCCCAGCTCCGGCTGTTGTGTGGCCATTTGGGAAGCAAACCAGTGGGTGGAGGACTTTCTTCTCTCTGTCTGTAACTCTTCAAATAAATGAATAAAATCTTTAAAAAGGAAACATATAGGCAAGCCACAGTACTGGGAGAATATATGTGTTGCAAGGGGCTTGAACCCAAAAACATATAAAGAATTCAAACAAATCAACAATTTATGAAATTTCTGAATGAACAAAAGAATTGAATAGACATTTCACAAAAACCCTAGAAATGGTACCCATGGTCATTAACCTTTAAGAAAATGCAAATAAAAACCATAAGAAAATACTATCATGTTCTCAGTAGAATGGCTGAAATGAAAACAATTGATCAGACTCAATATTAGGTAGGATGTGACCAGCTGAAAAGGAATCCGCCCACTGTTGATGGAGTATAAAATGTTACAACTACTCTGGAAAACATGCGCTGCCTGTTGTTGTTGTTTTTTTTTTTTTGACAGGCAGAGTGGACAGTCAGAGAGAGAGAGACAGAGAGAAAGGTCTTCCTTTTGCCGTTGGTTCACCCTCCAACGCCACGGCCAGCGCGCAGCACACCGTGCTGATCCGAAGGCAGGAGCCAGGAGCTTATCCTGGTCTCCCATGGGGTGCAGGGCCCAAGCACTTGGGCCATCCTCCACTGCACTCCCTGGCCACAGCAGAGAGCTGGCCTGGAAGAGGGGCAACCGGGACAGAATCCAGCGCCCCGACCGGGACTAGAACCCGGTGTGCCGGTGCCGCTAGGCAGAGGATTAGCCTAGTGAGCCGCGGCGCTGGCCGTGCTGCCTGTTTTTAAGAGTTAAACAGCTGGGGCCGGTACTATGACGTAGTGGTAAAGCCGCTGTCTGTTATTTGGCTTATTATTATTTGGGCACCGTTCAAGTCCTGGCTGCTCTATTTCCAATCCAGCTCTCTGCTATGGCCTGGGAAACCAGCAGACAATGGCTCAAGTTGTTGGGCCCCTGCACCCATGTGGGCAATCCAGAAGAAGCTTCCGGCTCCTGGCTTTGGATTGGCCCAACTCTGGCCATTGGAGCCATTTGGGGAGTAAATCAGCAGATGGAAGACTCTCTTTTTCTTTTTTTCTCTCTCTCTGCCTCTGCCTCTCTGTAACTCTGCCTTTCAAATAAATAAATAAATCTTTGGAAAAAAATTTAAACAGCTGTCTATCTTATGACCCAGAAATTCTACTTGTAGTTTTATTTACCCAAGAGAAATGAAACACAGTTCTACAAAAAGACTTGGGCAAAAATATTTATAGCAGCTTAATTCATATAACTAGAAATGGGAAATGACCCAAATGTTAATTCATAGGAGAATGAATAAACAGAATGTAGTACATTCATACAATGGAATACTACTCATTAAACAGAATAAATTACACTAACAGATGCATACAATGGATTTATCATAAATATTTTGTTGTGTAAAAGCAAAACACAAAGGAATACATTCTGATGATTCTATTTACAATGGCAAAACTATTCCACAATGAACAGAATCAGCAAGTGGCTACTTCTGTGTGGGATAGGGAATGACCAGAAATAGGGTCGACAGCACTGTGCCACAATGGCTTACACCGCCACTTGGGATGTCAGCATCCCATATCAGAGCACTGGTTCAAGTCCCAGCTGCTCCTCTTCCAAACCAGCTTCCTGCTAATGTGCCTGGGAAGGTGGTGGATGCCACCTACACGGGAGTTCCAGACAGTCTGGGCTTTTGGCTTTCTTCTGATCCAGCAGATGGATATCTCTATCTCTATCTCTCCTCCACCATTGCCCTGACTTTCAAATCAATAAGTTTCAATCAACCTTGCAAGTCTTTATAAGAGGGGGAAAAAAAAGAATGACCAGAAATGATACATAGCAACTTTCTAGATAGACAGATATAGAGGGGAAGGGAGTCTCTGAAACAGTTTCACGGAAAATGAATATTATGAAAATATTACCAATGGATTTCAAATTTTTTGCACCAAATAAGCTTAATTTTTCATTCCAATTTCCATGAACTTTCTGAAGTATTCACGGGATACTGGAGAATTTCTGGCAACCCAGAAACACAAATAGGTACAGATAAGAAAAAAATAATAAGACTAAGCCAAATAACAGTCCACTCTCTGCAGCCAAATGACCAAGAGGCAGGCTAGGAAGACAGAAACATAACCACCCTACTATTGTCAAACACCACAGAAAAACCCGTGGCCACATGCCAGGAAAGACTCAGTGGCGAGCAAGGGAGCACATGACGAGATGTCCCACACCACGAGCTATAAGGGAAACACAGACCAAAGCCGCAGTGACATATCTCTGAACGAAAACAAGGGGATACCACCAAATGCTGGCAAAAATGCAGATAAATTGGATCACTCCAACACTGCCAATGGGAACTGACTCGCCCAAGAAAGCAATGGAGTCATTTTGTAAAAAAATAAAAAATACAACTAGCTTATAATCTAGCAACCGCACTCTGGGCATTTACCACAGAGAAGTGAAAAGTTATGTGTACACAGACATTTGCATATAAATGTTTACAGAAACTTTATTCATAATAGCCAAACAGTGGGAACAACTCAGATGTCCTTCAACAGGCGAATTATAAATGAACCACGGTACATCCACATCATGAAACACTACTCAGCAACTGAAAGACAGAACTACTGCTAAACTGATGCATGTAGTGGCCCAGTCAATCTCCTGAGAGTTAACGCAGAGAAAACAAAGCCAATCTCAAAAGCTTATTTACTAGATGGTTCCACTCCTATAACATTCTTGAAATAACACAATTACAGACAGGAAGAACAGATTAGTGGTTGCCAGGGTCACTTAGGCAGAGGATGGGGGTAGGAGAGAAGCAGGTGTGGCTATAAAAAGGCAACATGAAGGACCCCAGTGGTGATGGAAACGCAGTGTGTGGACTGTGAGAATGTCAGTATTCTGGATGTAGCACAATACTATTTCCCAAAACGTCATCACTGGGGGAAACTGGACAAAGGGTACTCGAAGCTTCTTTTACAACTTCGGTCTAGTTTAAAAACTTCCAGGGGCTGGCGCTGTGTCATAGCGGCTAAAGCCACAGCCTGCAGTGCCAGCATCCCATATGGGCACCGGTTCAAGTCCCGGCTGCTCCACTTCGGATCCAGCTCTCTGCTAATGTGCCTGGGAAGGCAGCAGAAGTGGTCCTAGTGCACCCACATGGGAGACCTAGAAGAAGCTCCTGGCTTCAGATCGGCTCAGCTCCTGCTGTTGCAGCCATTTAGGGAATGAAGCAGCGATGGAATCAATCAATCAATCTCTCTCTCTCTCTCTCTTTCTCTCTCTCTCTGCCTCTGCTTTTCTGTAACTCTGCCTTTCAAATAAATACATAAATCTTTTTTAAAAAAATTTCCAACAAAAAATAATCTCCAGTTAAGAATTCTATGCCCAGAAATCCTATCAACAAATATACGGAATGAAGATATTTTAGACTTGCAAAGTCTGAAAAGATTTACTTCCTGTTCATTCTTTCTCAAGAAATTAAAAAATGAACTCCATGCACACAAGCAAGTCAAGACAGAAGGATGACAAGACTGCGTGGGAAGCAGGAGACCCCACCGTACAAACAAACGTGGTCCCGATTCTCGACTTGTGCTGCCCTTAAGCTGATGAAGTTCCTGCTTCTCCTTCTATGACTAGCTTCTTCCAGGGGCTGGTGGACCTGGATTACCTACAGCCCCTGCTGTTGGTAAACTCTACATCCACCAGGATTCACTCGTGAGACTGCTCACTGACTTCCTGGGATGGGGTCCTAACAACTCCCAGGGCAGCACAAGTCAGACCATGGTCCCAATTCTGTTCTACCTGTTCTCCTCCCAGAGTCTTCGCCTAGTACCAGCAGCAATGCCCTTTCTTTGTTCAACTCGGTTTGTGTTTGTCTTAGTTCTCAAAATTAAAAACGTTGGCAGAGACACATAGGTGGTAGCTTTATGAAGAAGGGTAATGAAAAGATTAACACAAGAATCAGGACTGGGGTTGCCTCTGGGAGAAAAACAAGGATGCACATGGAGGGACTCTGGAAGCACCCACTGAACCAGCAGTCATCTATATTGTGACTGGGGTCCTGGAGCACAGGTGCTCATTCTTAACTTTTTGAAATGTACATGAACATTTAGTATGATTTTCTACAATGTGTTTATATCATTTTGAACAAAAAACACCAAAGGCATAATTGAGATTAACAGGATTGAACTTTTGCTAGATGGTCTCCGGGACAAGTGGGTAGAAATCACAGGGAATCCACTCTCAGCACAGTGTAAAGCTGCAGCGTTTAACAGCTGTAGAAGACCAAGGAAGAGGCCTGCGCGGACAGCGGTGAGCCCGGCCCATCACAGGCAGAGCATGAACACACTGGGCACCACTGTGCAGAGGACAGACAGCGGTGAGCCCGCCCCGTCACAGGCAGAGCATGAACACACTGGGCACCACTGTGCAGGGGACAGACAGCGGTGAGCCCGTCCCGTCACAGGCAGAGCATGAACACACTGGGCACCACTGTGCAGGGGACAGACAGCGGTGAGCCCGCCCCGTCACAGGCAGAGCATGAACACACTGGGCAGGCACTGTGCAGAGGACAGACAGCAGTGAGCCCGCCCCGTCACAGGCAGAGCATGAACACACTGGGCACCACTGCGCGGGGGACAGACAGCGGTGAGCCCGCCCCGTCAAGGGAGAGATGAACACACTGGGCACCACTGCGCGGAGGAGTCACAGAGACCAGAAGCATGCGCTGGGGAAGGAGCCTTCAGATCCTGAAAGACTGAGGCTGTGCAACCACAGACAGAAATGAGAAGCTCATTGCTCCTCCACTGGGGTTGAATGCTCCATCAGGAATGGTGACAGAACGTGCAGATGCTTCAGTGAGCATCCTATTCCTCTGACTGCAGGGCAAATTATTATCAGAGCTGGAAAAACAGCCAACGGTAGCAGCAGTAGACCAATGAGATCTTTTCACAAACCTCTAAATGGTAACACTTTCAGGGAGTGAATTCAAAACAGCAAGATCACTTGCAAACCTCAGCAATGTTTCTACACAGTCACTCCTATGAGCAGAACATGCTCAGCCAAGGAGCCTTCTGCCCCGGGACTGGCAGCTGATCACAGGAAAGTACCTCTGAGGTCATACAAACAATTCTAATTGTTCACACAAAATTTCTCCCAAATTATGCTTTGCCAGTCCTCCTTCAAACTCCACACAAAAACAACATTTCCTCCAAAAATGCAGGATGAGGTGCACGCAGGCATGCAAGGGTCCATTCTCTCATGCACTCACTGACGCCATGAGGTCAGGCGCTGAACTACTCCAGTCAATGACACAGGCGAGTGTCTGCTACTCATCCTCAGAGGCAAGCACACACCTCAATTTCTGGTGCCTATCCACTTCAGGTTTCAGTTCACTCAGTTCCTTTGTTCTTCTAGAAGTTTCAGCACCAAGCCAGTCAGGCCTGGAGGACAGTACAAAGAGTCACTCCAACTCTCGCCCCCTGGGCTCCACTGCAGGCTTCCTAGACAACTTCAGTCATTTAAGGAGGCAGCAGCCAGCCACTGAAGGCAAGCAGTATGGCCAGACTCACACCATCTCACTTTGTTAAAACAGCTAGCTGATATGCAGAAAGTCTGCTTACCTCAGTCTACCCCAGAAACAAGTATTTACCTCTGTTTTTGCACCGTGTCCATTTCTCTGGTTTTTAATTCTTCGAGTTCCTTCAGCCTTTTGGAAGTTTCAGCATCAAGCCAAGCGAGCCTAGCAAACAGTATCAAAAGGTCAAACCAGCTCTGCCTACTGTGGTCGTGCCACTGTCAGATCAGACCAAGGGTTAGGACCACACCTCCCTGGGTCCCCAACCCAGCACCAACCCGAGCTCCAACAAGGACTCAGTAGGTGATGTAGCCTCTCCGTATCCTAAAGTTCCCCAAGTCATGTTCTTTGTACAGACATTACACACAAAAGTACTCTGAGTTAGTTATGGAGCATCAAGAAGCTGCCTACAAACTCAGGAAACTGGCCCCACTGCACTTGTTCTTGTTTACTTAAAACAAAACCCACGGGGCCACTGCCTGCAGTGCCGGCATCCCATATGGGCGCTGGTTTGAGTCCCGGCTGCTCCACTTCCAACCCAACTCTTTGCTATGGCCTGGGGAAGCAGCAGAAGATGGCCCAAGTCCTTGGGCCCCTGCACCCATGTGGGAGACCCAGAAGAGGCTTCTGGCTCCTGGCCTCAGCTCTGTGCAGCTCCAGCTGTTGCGGCCATCTGAGGAGCGAACCAGAGATGGAACACCTCTCTCTCTCTGCCTCTCTGTAACTTTGCCTTTCAAATAAATAAAAACAAAAAAACACAAAGCCCTCGCAGCATCCTCAAGTTTAGACAAAGACATGAATCCCCAGGAAAGCCATACAGGTTAGACAAGTCAAACAAAAACCAAAGGGACTCAAATAAGTTAACAACTTCATTGTGGAAGGGCTTGATTCTTTTGCTTTAGGATACGTGAAAACTAACAAATTATTTAATGGCCCACTTTCTTTTTGCTTTCCTGTAATTACAAGAATAATTTCAGCCAAACAAATGCAGAGCAACCTGGTGTCACTGCTCTCCCCCCATATTTAAATCCTGCCTGTTCTCCAAGTCTTAGTTTAACTTTCACCTCCACCATGAATCCTAGTTCTCTGCAGTAAGAAGTAACCGCCCCCTTTCTCAGTTCTTAATTCTTTCGTTTTTTTAAACATTCATTTATTTATTTGAATGGCAGAGTTACAGAGAGAGGACAGACACAGTGAGAAATCTTCCATCTACTGGTTCCCTCCCCAAATAGCCACAATGACCAGCGTAGGGCCAGGCCGAAGCCAGGAGATTCATCTGGGTCTCCCATGTGCATGCAGGGGCCCAACAACTTGAACCATCCTCTGTTGCTTTCCCAGGCACATTAGCAGAAAACTGGATCAGAAGTGGAGCAGCTGAGACTTGAAACAGCACCCATATGGGATGCTGGCATTGCAGACGGCTGCTTAACCTGTTACCCCACAATGAAGGCCCCAAATTCTTCAGTTCTTAGGGTACAGAGCATGTTCTATGGTAAATTACAGTTAAATACCCATCTTCTCTGCTAACTACAAACAAGCAGGGGCGGGATGACCATGTTATTTGCCTTTTTTTTTTTTAAGTCTCCAGAGAGCTCACAACTACGTCATATAAAAAACTAGTAACTGATAGCCACCTGACATACATATAACTTATGAATGACTGTAATGAGGAATAAAGGAGGAGCCCACTGTAAGCTGCGTAATCTGATGGAAAAACAACAGTCATCTACATTTTAAATAATTGACGTCAGACATAGGGAAGGAGAAAGCGTTTCAGAGTCTAAATAAAAGGAGCCCATTCATCGTCAAAGCTTTGAAAACCACCAGGACGCACCTGGCTGCTTCGTGCTCAACATCACCTCTCAGCTGACTTTCCTCTTGAGTGTCTTCTTGCTGGAGAGACTGGTCTTTCACGGCATCTCTGGGGCTAGACTTCGCCTTCAGCCATGCAGCACTGCAACAAATGGAAAAGTACTTCTTGGACATCACTCACCTCCTGTCCAATGACTCCTGCTAGGGGTCAGCTGGCCAAGGAAAACAGGAGCACTAAAGCAGTAGTGATCCAAGCACAGGGCTCTGAATCGGGAGCTCAAGATGAGGAAGAGTGAGGCCCTCCAGCACTCAGGGTCTGTGTCAAAGGGAAGAGGTCTCACTTGCTTCAATGAAGCGACTGCATTTAAATGAAAAAGCAATTGTCAACTCCACGATGCTGAGTGCCAACAGAACTCTGTCACAGTGTACAGATGACACTCCACATCACAAGGCAGCTCCGTACCTCCTGTGAGGCCTCCAGCAACACTGACAGCGGAAGAGCCCTACCCGCCCCCCCCCACCACACACACCCCAGTGTCACTAAGGTCTATACCCCCACCACACACACTCCAGTGTCGCTAAGGTCTGTACCCCACCACACACACCCCAGTGTCGCTAAGATCTGCAGTTACAGAGTTCATAAATATCTTTTTTCAAAAAAATATTTATTTATTTCAAAGAGTTAGAGAGAGGAGGAGAGGAAAAGAAAGGACAGAGAGGGAGGGAGGAAGAGAAAGAATCTTCTATCCACTGGTTTTGATGGCTGCAACAGGAGCCAGGAGCTTCTTATAGGTCTCCTATGTAGGTAGCAGGAGCCCAAGCACTTGGGGCATCTTCCACTGCTTTTCCCAGGGCATTAGCGGGGAGCTGGATCAGAAGTAGAGCAGCTGGGACATGAACCAGTGCCTGTATGGGATGCCAGCACTGCAGGTGGCAGGCTTTACCCACTAGGCCACAACACCAGCCCCCTAAAATTATCTTGAATTGTAATTAGCATTCTGGAAAGATTTACCTAATGCTATAAAAGAGAAACATAAACAAGTCACAGCTCCTAACATTAAGTAAGTAAGATCTGCTGGGAAAGAGACAGGTGAGTGGGCAACATCTTCTCATGTGTTACTCGCCCAAACATGCATTGTTTCTTGCTGGGGAGGACGAAGGCTGCTACCTCAGTTAGTCTAAGCCACAGGTCACCTCTGGCCTGTGGAGGGAACGTGCCACCACACACCCAAATGGTGACGCCGTGCCTACCATTTAGGAGATGCTGGTGGGGATGTGGGGTTCGGAGGGATCCAAGGAGCCCGGCTGTCTTTCACAGGCTGCCGGTTCATTTTCAGTCTGGACGAGACTGTTGTCTGCTGCAATCTGCTTTTGCCAGGAGGTTGGCTTAGTTTACTTCTCTCAGGCTTACGGAGTCCCTTTAAGAGACAAATATGAATTATAAAGCCAGATGAGTGTCAGAGAAACTCTGGTCTTAATTTGGCCTTGGGAGCCAGCTGGGTAGTCAGAAGTTGGTTTGACATCACACTACATTTTAATCTTATGTTAGAAACTTGATGAAGGCCACTGATGCTCCAAGTGCCTCCAGCCTCTTCATGCATCCATTCAGGAAAAGCACTGTGGTGAGAATTTGGGGGAGGGTGGGCATCACACTGGAGCAACCAGGCAGGGTGGGTGCAATTTTACATACTCATACATAAAATGTGTTTTTATTTGTTTATAGATCTTTTTCCTAAGTAAACAAAAAACTTACTCCAAATTGTATAGAGGTAAACTGAAAAACATTCTTGGTTACAATGCTTCACCTCTCTAAGCTCATGTCAAAATTAAATGACTCAACCTTTCTCAAACGCTACAGCAAGTGAGTCTCTGCTCCAAGCTGAATTCTTACAGGCTCCGTCCTAACATTCCAGTGGCCCGGCCCTGGTTAAGAGTTTGGGAGGAAATAATGACCTGTGCCCAAATCATGATGTCAGTAACTGGTTAGTGATAACTGCTAACTCTCCTTTATGTGGCAACAGCTGGCAATATACAGGTTTGCTCATCTTTGGACAGCACCATCACAAGGCAGGAAATCCTAGTATGCAGACTGGCAGGTGATCCTCTGGTCGGTTTGATTATGTTTTTAATGTAAGTTTAAAATATAACATAGTATCAAACCAACTTCCAAGTACCCAGCTGGCTCCCCAAGCCATATTAAAAAGCACTTACCCTCAGATGTCTTTTAATATTCAGTGATTATTGATCAGCATTTATCTTTAGTAGGAAACAAAACATTTCTTTACATTTTTATTTGTTTACGTAAGAGAGCGAGCAAGACTGAGAGTTGGGGCAGTGGGAGATAACGACAGAGAGAGAGAGAGCTCCCACCCATTGGTCCATTCCCCAAACGCCGGTGATGGCTAGGGCTGGGCAGAAGCTGAAGCCTGCAGCCAGGAACTTCATCCAGGCCTCCCACAAGGCAGGAACTCAATTACTTGAGCCATCACCACTGTTTCCCAGGATATGCAACAGCAGGAAGCTGGAAGCAGGATCTGGAGGCAGGTATGGAACCTAGATACTTCAACACAAGATGTGGGCATCTTAACTACATTTCAGTCCCCTTGGATACCACACTTCTAAATTGGAAGCAAAAAAACTTGAATTTTAAAATAGCCTGCCCGGTGAAGACCCTGGTAGCAAATTAGTTAGAATCTTACTGAATTGGGACAAGAGACAATGTCCTGTCCCAGTATCAATATTAAAAATTTGGCAAGTGGGGGGAATGGGAGGGACCTGCTGCCACTGTGAGGCCTCCACCTGCAGCACCAGCAAACCATATGGGCGCAGGTTTGTGTCCCGCTCGCTCCTCTTCTGATCCAGCTCTCTACCAATGGCCTGGGAAAGCAGTCAAAGATGGCCCAAGTGCTTGGGCCCTTGCACCTACATGTAGGACCCAGAGGAAGCTCCTGGCTCCTGGCTTTGAATCAGCTCAGCTCCGGCCACTGCAGTCAGTTGGGGAGAGAACCAGCAGATGGAAGACCTTTCTCTCTGTCTCTCCCTCTCTCTGTCTTTAACTCTACCTCTCAAATAAATAAATAAAATCTTTAAAAAATATTTTTTGTTAAAATATAAAAATAACCAGAAGCTAAGTTAAATCAGCTTAGACAGCTGGAATCAAGGGCTCTGGCAACTGCCTGAGAACTCGACTGCCGGCTCCACCACTTAGGAGTCTGTGCAGCCTCGGCCAATGTCAAATCAATAGAAACAGCCAAAAGAAGGAATGATTTCATACTTGCTGTGGTCTTGCCGGTGCCAGGGCATCTTTCTTCCTGAACGGCACGTTCTCCGTCACAGGCTGCTTTTTCACTGCTTTCGCAGGAGCTAATGCCTCATCTCTGAAGCCTGGACTCTCATCTAGGATGAACGGGGCTTCTTCTGGAAGGACGTGCCCATCTGATACATCCAGCTCTCGCTGCAGCCTCTGCGTCCCTGGAAGCTCCACGTCAGGCTGGCGCTTACCTACATGGAGATTGCAGAAGGATACACTGAGGGAAGCAGTTTTCAAATCAAGTTCATGAGAATGATGACCTGTATTGGATATGCTCTCCCTGTTGAAAAGTGAGGTGTTTTGTTGCCAAACTTGCTCATCCTGGGAATATTATTGCAGTTCTTCATGCAAAAAACTAAGTTTCATGGTTGAACCCCTGAATCAGCTCCCATACAGACTCAGTGACCTGGTCCTCCGATTCCAATTCTTTTTTTTTGGACAGGCAGAGTGGACAGTGAGAGAGAGAGACAGAAAGAAAAGTCTTCCTTTTGCCGTTGGTTCACCCTCCAATGGCCGCTGCGCTGCAGCCCGTGCATCGTGCTAATCCGAAGCCAGGAGCCAGGTGCTTCTCCTGGTCTCCCATGGGGTGCAGGGCCCAAGCACTTGGGCCATCCTCCACTGCCTTCCCGGGCCACAGCAGAGAGCTGGCCTGGAAGAGGGGCAACCAGGACAGAATCCGGTGCCCCGACCAGGACTAGAACCCGGTGTGCCTGCGCTGCAAGGAGGAGGATTAGCCTATTGAGCCAAGGCGCCGGCCCGATTCCAATTCTTTTTTTTGACAGGCAGAATGGATAGTGAGAGAGAGAGACAGAGAGAAAGGTCTTCCTTTTTGCCGTTGGTTCACCCTCCAATAGCCGCCACGGCTGGCGCGCTGCGGCCGACGCACTGCACTGATCCGAAGGCAGGAGCCAGGTGCTTCTCCTGGTCTCCCATGCGGGTGCAGGGCCCAAGCACTTGGGCCTTCCTCCACTGCACTCCCGGGCCATAGCAGAGAGCTGGCCTGGAAGAGGGGCAACCGGGACAGAATCCGGTGCCCCGACTGGGACTAGAACCCGGTGTGCTAGCGGCGCTAGGTGGAGGATTTGCCTATTGAGCCGCGGCACTGGCCCCGATTCCAATTCTAAAATACCTCTTGCATTTATCTCTGCCCTCTCTTCCCTTCTGCTACTGCTCTCAGGCAGGCCTGCAGTATCTCATAGCCATCTTACCAGCATCTCTTAATGGATCCCTTAATTACCTTAATCACACCTTCACCTGGCTACCAATTTGCTTTTTACTAAAATGCAAATGCATTTAAACATGCTTCTCTATCCAAAACCCTTCAGTGGCTCCCAATTTGATTCAGAGGCTGAACCTCATACCTGACATTCAACCTGCAATGAAAAAGGAAATAAAAATCTTTGTTTGGTGATAATGATCTTAGAAAATCCAAGAAAACCAAAATACACACAAACTATCACAACTAAGAAGAGAGTTGACCTAGGTTTCTGGATCTAGGAAAATTAACACAGAAAAATCATTATCATCCCATTAGGAAATATATTAAAAAAAAAAAAAACAAACACTAATATTGGCAACAAAAATCTTATGTAAGGCATTTAGGAAGAAATTTTATGAAAGATGTACAAGACTTTTATAGAAAAAAATTAAAAGGTATTTTTAAAGGATTGAAAGAAAATCTGCTCTGCCTGTCAAAAAAAAAAAAAAAAAAAGAAAGAAAATCTGAATAAAGCTGTTTTCATGAATGAACAGACAATATTATAAAGATTTCAATCAACCCAAAATAATCTATAATTTCAAATGCAAACTCAGTTAAAACCAACACTTTTTTTCTGTGTAGATCTAAACACGCTATGCAAAAACTTCCATGAGGAATAAACCCCAGGGACAGCTCAAACACCAAAGTGGGGAGCAGGGAGGGGTGCAAGCCTTCCTTTCTACAAACTCTTGGTGACAAAGCTGTAGTATTTTAAGGCAATGTGGGAGTGTTGCAGGAACAAGCAGAAAACCAATGAAACAGGATGAACATGATAAATCAGTGAGCACGAACTGGATTGTTCGGAAAGTGCTAAGACTACGTTATCCATAGATTTAAAAAAAAAAAAAAAACTGAATCCTTGCGTCCCACTAAATAACATTTGAATTCTAAAAGAAATGAAGATCTAAAAATGGAAGGAAAACTTTAAAGCTTAAGAAGAAAATAAAGAATATCATTATGACATCAGGGCAGAAAAGACTTTTTTAAACTCAAATATAGTATCAGGATATGATAATTTTTTTAAAGATTTATTTATTTATTTTAAAGGCAGAATTACAGAGAGGCAGAGGCAGAGAGAGAGAGGTCTTCCATCCGCTGGTTCACTCCCCAGATGGCTGCAACGGCTGGCGCTGCATCAATCCAAAGCCAGGAGCCAGGAGCTTCTTCTGGGTCTCCCATGCAGATGCAGGGGCCCAAGGACTTGGGCCATCTTCCACTGCTTCCCAGGACATAGCAGAGAGCAAGATCAGAAGTGGAACAGCCAGGTCTTGAACTGGCGCCCATGTGGGATGTCAGCATGCAGGCGGCAGCTTTACTCGCTATGCCACAGCGCTGGCCCCGGCATATGTGAATTTAATTACACTAAATTACAACTACCTTTAGACAAAATGACACCACAAGGTCACTATACAAGCCAAAGTCTGGAGTAGATATGTGGAATGTACAACATTAACACGGGATCAATAGCCAGGCTATATAAAGGACTTCTATAGTCTATAGCGAAAATAAAGTATCCAACAGAGAAACAGGCAACAGAGAGAAACTGGCAAGTTAGGAAATCTGAAATGTAAAGATGACTGACTGCACTAGTAGTCAGGAAACTTCAAACAAAGCGATCCACCAGAGCAGTGGAGATGAGGTCTGCGGAAGCCAGGGACGCGCCTAAGGGAGCCGTGCGGAGTGCCCTGGCCTCCGCGCACCTCAGACGGCAGCGTGGCTGCTCCAGGAAAGTTGAAGGACTGGACCCTGTGTGACCTCGGGAACACCTCAGCCTAGGGGAGCTCTCGAGTGTGTACACAGGACAGGAGCACACTCACCTCACTTCATCAGTGTTCACAAGAGCAAAAACCTGGGAACAACCCAAATGTCCATTAAACAAACTGAACAGAGCAATGGTATATTCATACAAGGGAGACCTACACAACGGTAAGGAGATGAATCAGAATTCCAGGATCAAAATGAACAAATCTTACAAACACAACTGTGTGTGGGGTAAGGGGGAGCTAACCACAAGAGAATGATGCATATTGCAAGGTATCGCTGACCTCTGACAATACTTGATGTAGTTTATGGACAGATACATAAGCAGTACAAATCTAAAATAGAACAGTAATCTCTGGGGCCAGGGCTGTGGCTTAGGGGATAAAGCTGCTGCCTGCAGTGCCGACATCCCAGTGCCGGTTCGAGTCCCAGCTGTTCCACTTCTGATCCAGCTCTCTGCTATGGCCTGGGAAAGCAGTGGAAGATGGCCCAAGTTCTTGGGCCCCTGCACCCATGTGGGAGACCTGGAAAAAGCTCCTGGCTTTGGATCAATGCAGCTCCATCCATTGCAGCCATCTGGGGAGTGAACCAGCAGATGGGAGACCTCTCTCTCTCTGCCTCTGCCTCTCTGTAACTATGCCTTTCAAATAAATAAATAAATCTTCAAAAAACAACAACAAAAAAAGTAATCTCTAGTGAGGGACGAAGAGAAATGGAGTAAGGAGAAAACCTAAAAGGATCTTTGGGGCAGGTGTTGTGACACATCAGGTTAACCACATCCCATACCACAGTTGATCAACTAGATCAACTCTCAGCTACTCTGCTTCCTGCTCATGTACCCTGGGAGGCAGCAGATGATAGCTCAGGTGCCCTGCCACCGACACGGAAGACCTGAATTAGGTTCTGGGCTCCTGCGTTCATCTGGCCTAGTACCAGCAGTTGTGGATATTTATGGAGTGAAAAAGAAGATTTCTCGATCTCTCTATCTCTCCCCCCCCCCCACCTCCACACACTTTCTTCCCTCCCTCTCTGTTGCTGTCTTTGAAGTAGGTGAAAATAAGCAAATAAACATTTAAAAAAGGAAGGGGAGGACTTCAACTATATCTATCATATTTCATTTCTAAAAAAAATTATGAAGTAAAAATAGCAAGCATGCTAAAAACGTTCCATCTAAGTAGTGATACATACTGCTATTTCCGCTCCTTTCTGTATGTTTAAAGCATGTCATAATCAAAGGAAAACTACATTCAGACCACTTATAGGGCAATAAGTCAAGGGTCAAACTCCCTGACACATTTCTTTAATCAAATACTTTTCAAAGCTACAAGAACTACGGCAGAAAGTACGAGGGATCTTCAGAAACTTCAAGGAAAATGCCTATTATAAAAATAACTATGCATGGATTTCAAATTTTTTAATAAACTTATCTTTCAATCTCATTTTTCCGTGAACTTTTTGAAGTATCCTCAAATAAATCGGAAGAGAAGAATGCGAAGACTGAGCCTTCTGTCTGTAACTTCTTTAACTCCCAAGTCTACACACATCAGAGCAGCTCTGACCTAGAGGAGGCAGGTCCTGACACCTGTTCACGCCGAGGACAGGTTCCCGAGGCGCTGAGCCTGAGCAAGGCTGGCGGGGAGACAGCTGCCATCCTCACGGCTGACAAGCTACACTCTTGCAGTCAACCGTGGCAAGAACATTTCAGAAGCTGCTAAAAAAAAACCTGCACCAACCAACAATTCTATAAATCACAAGACAGTGGATCAAAACGGGGCTCAAGCACCTATCTCAGAGCAAAGGCATACAGTGGGTCTTCCAGCCAGTGAGTGGTTCCTTGTGAATTTTTTTAGGGATGAAGTGAGGTGGGAGAGGAAAAGACCTTAAGAAATCAGAATGGAAGAATGAGACAAACTGGAATCTAAAACAGAAAGAGAAAAATGCTCTCTGAAACCCAGCTCATAGGGACAGGAAAAACAAGAAAAATAACAATAAGGCGGCGACCACATCGTTGCCCAGAGGCGAAAGCAGTGCACCTGCCCAGCAGTGACTGTAGGCGCACTGCAGGGGTGGCAAGGACGGCAGACTCGTCCTCCCTTGTTCTGCACCACTCTGTCCTCTGTGCCTCGCCATGACCCACCACGGAGCAGGCAGACAGGATCCCTCGGTTTTCAGGCAAGGAAACAGCTGCTAAGTGTTTTACTCAAAGTCACGAGGAGAGGAAGCGGCAGAGCCTCATGTTCTGACTTTTGGTCCAGGGCTGGGCCCACACACCCTGCCCTGTCAGGGACTATGCAGCGGCTGCACATACATTTTCCAGAGAATGGAAGCTTTCCTTTGTTATGACCACACAACACTCATTTTGGTTTTCTTAGAATGCAGCTAAATACCCCAGCCTTTTCTTGCTAACTTGAGGCTATTACTATGAACTAAAACAACATCTTACGTTTGTAGAGTATTCAGCAATTATCTAATTTGCTACTTAAAACAACTCAGTCATTTTAGAGATGAAAAAACTACGGTTCCGGGAGATTAAATCGACGCAGGGCCACATGCTAGCAGGCTGGGACGAGCCGCAGGCCTCCTGGTGCGAGTCTCCCCAGCTGCCCTCCGGCTTGCCCACACTTGCTGCTACAAGGAGCTGTCGCTGGTCAGCTGACAGGCACCTCGTCTTCTCCTCAGTTAGGGAACACATCTGCATGCAGGCCTGGAGTGCGCGCTGCATTTCCTCCAGGGGACCAAGAGACGGCGCCCATCATGCCAAACTCAAGTGAACGGCTGCTCAGAAGTCTTTTCTTATTCAGCCTCACCTTGGTGTCTAACAGGGTGGCGTGCCAGATGCTGACTCCTCTCACAGGGCAGACACAATGGTCACCCTCTCAGGAAAGGCTGGCGAAAGCACCTGCCTAGAACGCAGGGGAGAGCAAGTCTCATTAGAGTGAGGAAACACCTCACACTAAGTCAGTGAATTAGGCCTTGCTATTGTGATATAATTTTATGAAATACATATTTGGTCTCTGCCTCAACTCCTGGCACGGAGATCCTGAAACGCTTGGAGCTCCTGTAGTAACGGGATGCCAGGCACCTCTTCTGTCCTGATATTTGGTCTTTGGTTCCTGGAGTTTCCTGGGTGACAGGAGCACCTTTTGCTCGGTTGTGGCAACTCTTGGTAAGCACCTTGATGGAGGCTGGGCACTAGAAAAACCAGGCCATGCTCCGTGAAAGGGAGAGGGCTGGCGACAAAACCGATCGTGCCTGGATGACGAAGCCTCCATCAGCAGCCCTGAAACACAAAGGCCAGCGCACATCCAGACTGCTGACGACATGCAGGTTCCTGGAGGGGCAGAGCACCCAAGAGAGCACGCCTCGCCCTATGCCTCTCTCCTATCAGGCTGTTCCTCTGTAACACCCTTTCTCATAACATATGTAAGTAAACATATGTAAGTAAAGTTCTCCCGAGCTGCAGGAGCCATCCTAGCAAGCTCCAGGAGAGCCATAAGAAGCCCATTTTTAGGGGACGAGTGAGAGCACAGGTCACAGCCCAGGGCTTGCGACTGGGTCTGCAGGGGGAGCAGCCATACAGGGCTGAACCCTCAGCCCAGGGCACAGGACTCTAAGTGCAGGTCCTTAGTGTCAGACTGGAACTGAGTTATAAACCTGGCTGGTGTCTGCTGCAGAACCACGGGTGTGAAGAAACGCCCCCAACATCTGGGTGAGCGAGAACAGGAAGGATAGCTTGGTCTCTCCAGTCTCCCAGAGGGACACTCGTGTCAGAGGTGGAGCATGATGCTGTTCTCGTTCTAGAGGACAGTGGAGACTGAGAAATAAATCAACTGGAGACTGCACTCATATATAATTTACAAATCAAGAGAGGAAAAATAAAACAAGAAAACTTAATATAGTAAATTACAACAAAGAAAAAACTGACAAAACACAAAGCAGAACGCAGTCAAAATGTTATTAATCTCAGTAAAGGAAAGTAGGTTAAGTGCAGCGCTCTACAGTGGGATTAGCAACAACAATGAACTACTGATGAGACAGTCTCAAAATAAAACGGCAAACAAAGACTGCGCATAAAGGCACGGAAAATGTTATTCTAGGCCAGTGCCAAACAAGTTAAGCCGATAAGCAATATTAAAGCCAGAGAAAACAGATCCCAAAGTGAATGACCTTAAAAGAGAGATATTTAATAACACATATGTAAAACCCACAGAACAGTATGAGTTCAAAATATACAAAGAAAAAATTAACAAAAATGCAATGTGAAATTAACAAAGTCTCAAGTATCAAAAAGACTTGTTTTACTATCAATCATTTAGAGCTGAAGTAAACAAAAACAGAACACTGGGGCTGGACTTCCAGCACTGAGGGTTATGCCACTGCTCATGACACCAGTACCCCATATCAGAGTGCCAGTCTGAGTCCCGAATACTCCATTTCTCATCCAGCTCCTTACCAGTGCACCAGGGGAGGTAACAGAAGATGGCCCAAATACCTGAGTCCCTGTCACCCACGTGGGAGACCAGGGTGCAACTCCTGATCCTGGCTTCAGATTGGCACAGCCCTGGCTGTTGCAGCCATTTGGGGAGTGAACCAACAGATGGAAGATCTCTTTCTCTTTTTCTCCTTCTCTCTGTCATTCTACCTTTCATATAAATAAATACATGAATAAACACACACAGAACAGTATTTGAAAAGAAACTTAAAAAATAAAGACTGGAGGGGCCAGCACTGTGGCGCAGTGGATTAAGGCCCTGGCCTGAAGCGCCGGCATCTCATACTGACGCTGGTTCTAGTCCCAGCTGCTCCTCTTCCAATCCAGCTCTCTGCTATGGCCTGGGAAAGCTGTAGACGATGGTCCAATTCCTTGGGCTCCTGCACCAACATGGGAGACCTAGAAAAAGCTCCTGACTTCTGGCTTTGAATCAGCACAGCTCAGGCCATTGCGACCATCTGGGGAGTGAACCAGCAGTTGGAAGACCTTCCTCTCTGTCTCTACCTCTCTCTGTAACTCTGTCTTTCAAATAAATAAAACAAATCTAAAAAAATAAATAAAGACTGGAAAGAAGGAAATGAACCAGTGTTGGCCGGCGCCGTGGCTCACTAGGCTAATCCTCCACCTTGCGGCGCCAGTACACCGGGTTCTAGTCCAGGTCAGGGCACCGGATTCTGTCCCGGTTGCCCCTCTTCCAGGCCAGCTCTCTGCTGTGGCCAGGGAGTGCAGTGGAGGAAGGCCCAAGTCCTTGGGCCCTGCACCCCATGGGAGACCAGGGTAAGTACCTGGCTCCTGCCATCAGATCAGCGCGGTGCGCCAGCCACAGTGCGCCGGCCGCGGCGGCCATTGGAGGGTGAACCAACAGCAAAGGAAGACCTTTCTCTCTGTCTCTCTCTCTCACTATCCACTCTGCCTGTCAAAAAAAAAAAAAAAAAAAGAAAGAAAGAAATGAACCAGTGTTTACTCATATGTGATATGATGAAATACACAGCAAAACAAAATAATTCTACAAATACATTATTGGAAATAAAGGAGCTTATTTACAAGCTTGTTGGGTCCAAGGTTAATGCATGAAAGTCCACTGTATGTCTACATACCAGCAATAAGCATCAGAAATCAAAACTTTTAAAAGATACCATTTATAACCTCATGGAAAATATTAATACAAAAGTATAAATTTAATGAAAGACAAACAAGCAGACACATACACACCAACTACTACAGTGAGGTTCACAAAGTGTTAAGTAAATGAAGCCAGGCCCAGAGGAGTATCCACTGTGTGATTCCACTTTTATAAAGTTCCAAATCAGGCAAAAACCAAAATATGGCAATAAAAATCATAATAATAATAATAATTTAGGGGATAGGGAGGGATAAAGATTGGAAGTAGGTGCTGTTCTATTCCTTGATTTGGACACCAGCACACAAATGTGGCTGACTTCTAAACAATTTTTATTTGTTTGATAACACAGAGAGACAGATAGAGCTCTCCCATGTACTAGTTCATTCCCCAAATGCCCTCAACAGCTAGGGCTGGGCTGGGCCAAAGCCGAGAGCTGGGAACACGACCCAGGTCTCCCATGTGGGTGGTCACTCAACTACTTGAGCCATCACTGCTGCCTCCCAGGGAGTGCATTAGCAGAAATTAAAATCAGGAGCGGAGCTGGGATTCAAACCTAGGCACCCTAACATGGGATGAAGGTGTCCCAAGTGGCATCTTAACAGCTCTGTAGGAATTTGCTTTGGGGAGCTCAAATGATCCGATGTAGGCAGAGGGAATACTCCAGCCTCCAACCCATGGAAGCATCTCATTTGCTACTCACTGACCCTAAAGTGCATGCAAAGTGGACTAGAATTCTGAAGCCTGACTTACCATCCATAACGGTTATAGCCCAGGTAACTTCAAAGAACATCTCCCAGGAAACACTTTCAAACACATACCAGCAAGAAGTTTCTGTGCCATTCCAGGCCAAACTATGTCCTGTGGAAATATCTCCTTTTCCACAAAGGGTCTCTGCTGGCCCCTTGGCAGTGGACTTGGCCATCTCGCTAAGGTCTTTTGGCTACCAACAGGAAATCTGCTCGGAACGTCACTGACACATTTCTTCACCTTTTTTGGCGACAGTTTCTTTTCCAGGAGAGATTCCAAAGCCTGCATCAAACAGTTACTCTCTTAGTTTATGTCACAAAAGTATGATTTCCACTCACAAAACTGAAATTAAGGACCCCAAACATATTACTACATGGCTATCTAATAGTTAACAAAATGTTGCTTAACTTCTTTTAAAAATTTCTTTAGGGCATCCAATTAATAACAATAATTTCTGCATGTTCTTTAAAGCTCACTAATAACAAAGATAATGAATGTGATGATAAGTTAACCGTAGTTTTCAGAACACAATCCTATATGCTTTAAAAGCATTTTAATTCTCAACAGAAAAATCATAAGCTCAAGTAGCATTTTAAATGTGGAAACATACTATATTTAACATACATTTTCACAAACTAAAGGAAATGTGTGAGGCCAGTGACTAGAGTCACTTGTCTCCCACAATTATTATTATTATCATATTTTATTTATTGGAAAGGCAGAGTCACAGAGAGGCAGAGGCAGAGAGAAAGAGAGCTTCCATCCCCTGGTTCACTCCCCAGATGGGTTCAACAGCAGAAGCTGCGCCGATCCGAAGGTAAGAGCTTGAAGTTTCCTCCAGGTCTCCCAGGCAGGTTCAGAGGCCCAAGGACTTGAGCTATCTTCTACTGCTTTTCCCAGGCCATGACAAAGAACTGGATTGGAAGTGGAGCACCCATATAGGATGCTGGCACTGCAGGTGGTGGCTTTACCACTATGCCACAGTGCCGACACCTTAATGGTATTTCTGTTGGAAGTTTGGGGGGACTAGGTAATCTCTAGGGATTCTTTCCAGGATTACAAAGGTACATCCTCTAAATACAATCTTTCTTGACTATAAATTTAAGTCTTAAAAACATTGAAGGATTTCATATTGCTGTCTAAATTCTGAGGTCTGTATTTGATAACATTCTTGACAGTGCATTCTATACATACAAATGTACCAGTGCAAATCAAAACCATATCTGCTACACATTGGGACTAAAGGCAGGGGCCTTAAAAAAGGACACCAAGAGCCAGTCAATGGGAGAGCTGGCAGGTGACTTAATCTAGAATTCTCCCCACTACACCACTTTTCCTCTATACCTGACAATTTATTGTGCCACACTTACATAAAGATCTTTTTTTTGGGGGGGGGGGGGAACAGGCAGAGTTAGACAGTGAGAGAGAGAGACAGAGAGAAAGGTCTTCCTTCCATTGGTTCACCCCTCAAATAGTTGCCACAGCCGGCACAGCACGAGACAGAATCCAGCACCCCAATCAGGATTAGAACCCAGAGTACCAGCGCCACAGGCGGAGGATTAGCCAAGTGAGCCACTGCGCCGGCCATAAAGATCACATTTTTTAAAGATTTATTTACGTATTTGAAAGTCACAGCCACAGAGAAAGAGGAAGAGACAGAGAGAGAGAGATCTTCCATCCATCCATTGGCTTACTCCTCAGATGGCCACAACTGCCAAGGTTGCGCCAGGCTGAAACCAGGAGCCAGGAGCTTCCCCTGGTCTCCGACATGGGTGCAGGGCCCCAGGCACTTGGGCCATCTTCCGCTGCTTTTCCAGGCACATTAGCAGGGAGCTGGATGGGAAGTGGAGAAGCCAGGACACAAACTAGTGCCCATATGGGATGCTGGCATCACAGGCAGCAGCTTTACCTGCTATGCCACAATGCCAGCCCTAAGATCATCTTATTTAAAGGTGAAAATGCATGGTGTAGTAGAAATGGCACTGGTATAAAATTCAGAAAATAAGAACTGTTGTTTTTTAAGTTTTTTTTTATTTGTTTATTTGAGATATTTGAGAGGTAGAGTTACAGACAGTGAGAGGGAGAGACAGAGAGAGAGGTCTTCCTTCCGCCGGCTCACCCCCTAAATGGCCGCAACGGCCAGAGTTGTGCCGATCTGAAGCCAGGACCCAGGCTCTTTCTCCTGGTGTCCCACGTGGATACAGGGGCCCAAGGCCTTGGGCCATCTTCTACTGCTTCCCCAGGACACAGCAGAGAGCTGGACTGAAAGAGGAGCAGCCAGGACTCAGACTGGCACTCGTATCGGATACCAGTGCCGCAGGCAGAGGATTAATCTACTGTGCCATGGTGCTGGCCCTGGAACTGCTGTTTAAAGATTTATTTATTTATTTGCAAGACGGAGTGGCAGAGAAGGGGGAGAGACAGAGAGAGAGAGAAAAACAGAGAGAGAGAGAAGAAAGAGTAAGCAAGCTTCCACCTGCTGGTTCACTCCCTGAATGGCTGCCAATAGTTCAGTCTGGGCCAGGTGGCAGTGGGCCATCTCCCGCTGCCTTCCCAGACACACTAGCGGGAAGCTGGTTGGTAAGCAGAGCAATCAGGATTTGGACTGGCACTGATACGGGATGCTGGCATCGTTAGCAGCAGCTTAACCCCTTGTACCACAACGCCTGCCCCAGAAGACAGGAATTTGACTCCCAGTTTTTATTTTATTCAATTAATTAAACAGTTTTTAATATTAATTACATTCCCAGGCTTTATCAGCAATATTAACGAAACCTTTTAAGTGGAAGATAAACTGAGTAGTAAAGAGATATTACTGGGGCTGGCACTGTGGCGCTGCAGGCTAGCACCATGGCCTGAAGCGCTGGCATCCCATATGGGCGCTGGTTCTATTCCTGGCTGCTCCTCTTCAGATCCAGCTCTCTGTTATGGCCTGGGAAAGCAGTAGAAGATGGCCCAAGTCCTTGGGCCCTTGCACCCACGTGGGAGACCCGAAGAAGTTCCAGGCTCCTGGCTTCGGATTGGCACAGCTCTGGCCGTTGCAGCCATCTGGGGATTGAACCAGAGGTTGGACGACCTCTCTCTCTGGCTCTACCTCTCTCTGTAACTCTGTCTTTCAAATAAAATAAATCTTAAAAAGAAAAGAGAGACATTACTTATTATAAAATAATGCTTCATTTGGGCCGGCACTGTGGCACAGTGGGGTTGAGTGCCACCTGCAATGCTTTGTCGTTGCTCTTTCCCCCAGAAACCTTTTATTTAAGGAATACAAACTCATGTATTTCCTAAGTACTGCTTTAGGAACAATGTCCAGTTCTTAAAAGAAGTAACTGTGTCATCTCTGTGACCTTTCTTATTTTAAAACTCCTCATCTACAAAACAGTGATAATCTTAAAAACTGAAAACCACAGTGCCGGAGTAGAGATGACGTATGACACGGTGGCGAACTTCAAGGAAGTAAAACTAAGGATGTATTACCACTGTTGTCTTGGTCACCAATCAGAAGAACAAACAGGGGGCCGGCACCATGGCTCACTTGGTAAATCCTCCACCTGCGGCACCGGCATCCCATATGGGCGCCGGGTTCTAGTCCCAGTTGCTCCTCTTCCGGTCTAGCTCTCTGCTGTGGCCCAGGAAGGCAGTGGAGGATGGCCCAAGTGCTTGGGCCCTGCACCCGCATGGGAGACCAGGAGGAAGCACCTGGCTCCTGGCTTTGGACTGGTGCAGTGCCGGCCGCAGCAGCCATTTGGGGGGTAAACCAACGGAAGGAAGTCCTTTCTCTATGTCTCTCTCTCTAACTTTGTCAAATAAAAAAAAAATTACAAAAAAAAAAAAAAAGTAAGAACAGGATCCCTCTGTGACTTCCAGAAGTCTCCAGTCACATCACAAAACCTAAGGCTCTGCTTCCATGTTTCCTCTCTTCTGAGATCCTTTTAGATTAAACACAGATGTTCTAATCTAGGCCCTAATCTAGCACTACTTTACTGGTTTCCTTTCTCATGCTAATGAATTCTTTATTAAATGGCATAACCAGGAAATGGAACATTCTATTTAGTTAATGGACCACATTTAAAGTTGTTTTATGCTTTATACTCGAGTCACCAATTCTCAAAGAAGTGAAATGCAATACTATAGATTATACTGCAAAATAAAAACGAAGTGCTTCTCTGCCCCCTAACAATGCTTTCATTTACGAGGCAGCATTTTTGCCTCGTATTCTCCATAAATCCCAGTGGAACCAGGCGACAGTAAGCAGTCGCACACGTTCAACAAAACTTGCAGTTGATGTCATACCTCAATTTGTTGCAGGATATCTATAACCACGTCGGGGACAGAAGACTCCGCACCCAGCTTGGCAGAACACAGTGAAAGCTGGCGAATGAGGCTGCCCAGCTCCTTACAGCGGGCGGGAATCGGGTGCTCCCCCCGGTCGGTGAACTGAGTGACAAATGCCTGCAAGGCCCGAATGGCTCCACGGTGGGCAGCCGCCAGCCTGGACATGGCCCACGACTGGGAAGAAACAAGATTGGGGAAGGGATTTCAACAGCCATGAGTTTCCAGCATCGACTCAACTGTTACAAGTATTTATGATCTACCCTTTATATGTTCTATATATTAAATATATATATATATATATATGTAAAATGCTCTTTATTGTGGAAATGTTTTCATAGGGGCAGAACTATAAAGCTTAAAGTTTTCAAAAGACAACGGTTTTTCCTTCCTGTTCTCAGCCTCTTAGACCAGCAGCAACAACAAAAATCCACTTCCTACTCCTTAGAGGGCAACCTCATACCCAAAGTTATTTAAGGTGCTCATTCCCTCATTCATGGGTCCCTTTCTGCATGGACTGCAAACAGCATCTGCAGTGCAAAAAACTCAGACACAGTACTAACAGAACCCTGGAAGCTAATTTATAAGTTACCATTAACCATGACTTAGCTACACCATACCTTCTTAGTGTGTTTAATTCTATGTGGACTCAATTTATCCAGTTCTTCCTGGATTTCTTTTACCTGTAGGGGGAAAAATGGAAAATTCATACCTCTCCACTGATCTTTTTTTGTAGAAAAGGATATATCTTGTCTTGTCCAAGTATAATCATTATTAAGTCAAATCACTTGAAAATGAAAAAAGGCTCTTCATTCATGTACCCAAAAAACAATTACTGGTTTCCAGTTCAAGACGGTGACCAGGCCCATCCCCGGCCCCCAGGGTAACAGGAACTGAACAGGAGGAGCGAAGGTGGAGGTGAGGCTGGAAAGGGCCAGACCAGGGCCAGACCAGGAAGTCTTCAGCGCTGTCCTCCCGCTGACACAGAGCCACTGAAGCCTTTTACACAGAGGTCTGGCAGGTAAGACACATTTTACACAATCACTGGCACAGTGCAGAGTGAGGACTGAAACAGAACCCAGAAAGAACACAGAACAGTATCTAACTCGAGCATCTTCTCTGAGGTGAAGACAGTTTCTCACTCAAGCAGTAACACCAACATGTGACTTCAGGGACCACAAATGAGAAGGCTCATTAAAGAATCAAGCACTGAAGTCAAAACAGTGTTTTAAGAAGTCCATCACTATGTGAAGAACATAGCGCCTGTGCACTAGCCAGTTAATGTCCTGAAAGATACTGGACAGTCTTCATTCTTTATAAGGAATACTCCAATTATTTGCTACCTACTAAGATTCTAGTATATCCTTAACCTGACACAGAAAACTAAAAAGGCCCTTTCCTCTAAGACTAGGGTCCATACCTGGGGACCAAGGGTTTCAGGGTAACTGATCCACCTGACTTCAGATGCGAAACTATGTGCTCTATAACATAGAGCATTTTTTTTAAGGAGGAAAGAAATGATTTTTAGTAGATTCTCAAGAGTGTATGACCTCAAAAAGGCAAGAGCCTCTGTTTAGGAAGTTTGGCTATATATACATCACACACAAACACACACACACACGCAGATGACAAAAGGAAAAAGAGCTGTCCATGTGTTCAGGAAACTTAGCCTCACACACCCATCAGCATCATGTAGGACACTTGGGTGCTGATCTGAGACCAGGAAACATGAAATTCTCTAGGAAAGCAACACTGCCCACTTCCCTTGGGCTCTCCACACCTGCTGCTGGAGGACGTAGTGCATCCGGGCACAACGAATGGCTTGCTCCTGTCTCCTGACACGGATTCGACGCTCTTCATCCGGATCCAAATCTTCTTCTCGTCTATCTGAAAGTATTTCCCCCAAAAGTGGATTATAAATCATATATAGAAACTTGAAAAATGTCAGGCACTTAAAGAGACAATGAAGTTAAAGCTCTCCAGTTTTATTAAGAGAGTAAATGAGGCTGTTTTAAGAGAAAACTTCCTTTTCCATCAGTCAAGAAACCAGGAAGGAGTGGGCCTGTGTACTGACTCAGAGATGGAAGGACGTGAAGACACTCACGCAACTAAGCTCCCTCCAGGCTGGAGTTCCCTGAACCAAATCCCACCAGACAGCTACTGCACTGTGAAGCATCCCTCACTGTTTCAAAATCCTTTATATGCAGCCAAAATCTGTTATGCTTTCTATCTTTTAAAAAAACTCTTTACTGGCTTATTTTTATATTTAGCAAGGTTATTTTTACACTTTCTTATCTTGAATCCAAAAGAGAAATCCTTTCTCTCACATATTAAGATAGCATTACTAAAATTATGCAACTGTCCTCAGTCTTCATACATCTGTCAGGAGGGTGCTCTACATTTTCAAGACTGGCTCAGAGAAGTTGTTCCTAAGACTGTCTGAGAGACAGCCTGCTTATCTGTTCCTTCCAAGCCATGGTTCCCAAATATACTTCTGTTTCAGAATTTGTAAATTCTGAAACTGATCACAATTTCCTCTTTGGTTCCCAGGAAACTCAGAAATAAATCTGTAACCCAGCCCTGGTAACTCTTTTTTTAATCATTTCCTCTGACAAAATAACCTCAGGTATATATATTTTTTTATCTTATTCAATCACAGGGGTTTTTTTAAGGTGTCTTCAATTCTTATGTAAAATGCATATACTTGTATGTACATATATGCACATACTAATTAAATTTAAAATTCAAAATGTAATGCTAGACTATGTACTATCCTGGCAAAATAATTCTTTTGATGCTCAATTCCCTAAACCCTGGGCTTGATTCTCTACTTCTTAGCTACAGGAACCCCACGTTCTCCACAGACTCACCTGCACTGAGAAAGCCCAGAGAACTGTAGCAAACAGTAGATGGTTACATTCCTTCCTTTCTATCTGCGCTCAGGGATTTCACAAATTTACCGGCAAATTCCCTTGTCACTGGCATATACTCGTCCAAACACTGCCCAAGCCAGAACTGACTTTATCTATAACATGCATACACTACGCTCTTTCTTGAGAAAATTAAAAATAAGTTTGCCGGAAGGAATTCTGCATAAAGAGGGAAACTATTACAAGATAGCTCACTCTTGGGTGGCCAAAGACCTCAGGTTCAGAAGGCAGGTACCCCACCTCCAGGACGGGGCTCTCAGCAGCCACAGGGCAGGAGCTCCTTCCCTGGCTTCTGAGGACAGCGCCCAGCTGTTTTGCCATGAGTGCCCACCCCAGAAAACCAACACACAGGGCAGAGTGGAGCTCAGTGGCGGGGCGGGGGTACTAATAAGGAACGTATCTGAACTATTCTCACACTCGCTGTATCTCGTCCAAAGAGAAGGATCCAGTTTTCATTACCTTTTTTAGTTACCTCTTCAATTTTGTGGATACAATTGCTCAGTTCCTTCTGGAGTCGCTGGACTTCCAGCAGGCTCTTCTGTTCACCAAAGCTTTTGTGGTCCCCTGTCCTGGGACGTGCCTGAAGTCCTGGGTCACGGGTGGGTGGTGAATTCAGCCCGTCAAGGCCTGCCGGCCCTGGCTGGGATGTGTACAGGTGCACCTTGGTGCCTGAGCTGGGAATCCCCGCTCTGGACAGCTGCTGGCTGCCCTGACAGGCTTCTCGACTCTTTGGCTCCTTCGTCTCCACTCTGTGGTCAGGTGTTTTAGACTTAGTGTGCCCGCACTTCTCAGAGCTTTGGGGCTTACTTCTGAGCTGAAGTTCTTTGATGTGTTCTTCAAACTGTCTTCGTTTCACGTCTCTTTTGGCTAGCTGGACAGCATAGCTAAGTCTTTCTTCTGATATGACAGAAAACGAAACAGAGCCGCTCACATCAGGGCCAACTTGGAAATCTGAGTCTTTACAATGGTATGACTCGTTGTACGCATGCTTCAGTTTCTCAATTCTAATTCCATGTGGGCAAGAATATCGGACTGCCAAGTTGCTCGAATGTGTAGGAACATCCCTGTTAAACTGCAGCTGGGTCTTTAAAAAGTAAAAGTAAGCACACTTTAGAAAAATAACGTATTGCACAGTTGGCAGAGATCCATAATCAAGTTTCTAAATTTCATCCATAGGATTAGCAGTGCTAAGAGCTATTTTTCTGTTGCACTGATAGAATCGGCCACTCTCACACGCGCTTTGGTTTCTCACACTGCCTTAGCTCTGCCCTACACTCACAAGTCCCACAATGCTATCCTTATACCACTAGCATCGTGACAGGATCCTCCTCTAAACATCAACCTAGAGAGCTTCTAGCAGCAACCAATACAATTCCCAACCCTCCAATTACAGACTCCTGTGCCTTTCAACAAAACACCAGCCTCCAACTCTAGCTCTCAGCCACTCACCAGAGCTTCAGGCCCCCCGAGACTGCATCTGGTGGCTGGATATATCTTCCATCCTGTACCATTCGTGCCCACCTGTGCATTCTTATGCAGGCTCAGGTTTCTGTCAATTATCATTACAACACAAGCTTGGTGTTGTTTTACATTTGAACATAAACATGTTTCCATCTCCCTATTATTCTTTTTTTTTTTTTTTTTTTGACAAGCAGAGTGGACAGTGAGAGAGAGAGACAGAGAGAAAGGTCTTCCTTTTGCCATTGGTTCACCCTCCAATGGCCGCCACGGCTGGCGCACTGCAGCCAGCGCATCACGCTGATCCAATGGCAGGAGCCAGGTGCTCCTCCTGGTCTCCCATGGGGTGCAGGGCCCAAGCACTTGGGCCATTCTCCACTGCACTCCCGGGCCACAGCAGAGAGCTGGCCTGGAAGAGGGGCAACAGCAAAAGAATCCGGCGCCCAGACCGGGACTAGAACCTGGTGTGCCGGCGCTGCTAGGTGGAGGATTAGCCTAGTGAGCCGTGGCGCTGGCCTCCCTATTATTCTTATAATTTTTCATGGTTGCATTTTCCAAAACCCAGGGCATGGCCTTTTCATATTTAACCTAACAATAACATTGCTAACATTTAGGAAACATCCACTTTCCCCACTAATACAAACAGTGCTTCAATTAGTATCTCTGCACATTTCCTTTTAAATTATTTCCTTAGATAAATTATTTGTTCTGGGATTGCTAAGGCAAAGGAAAAACTTTATGGCTTTCCAACTAAAAAACTCATTTATCCTCCCTGGACCTTCCAGAATGGACCTGTAAAGATGAGGAAACAGCCTTAGGACTGAGGCCAAGGAATTCCATGGCCCCAGTCTGGAGATGGCATCCACAACTCTCACAACACAAATGGGTGCACTCACGGGTACACTCACAGCCACACTCATGGTTACACTCACGGGTACACTCACGGGTACACCCACGGATACACTCATGGGTACACCAATGGGTATGAAAACAACCCACTGTGGGGCCAGCACTGTGGCGTAGTGGGTAAGGTCACCGCCTGTGGTGCCAGCATCCCATATGGGCGCCAATTCGAGTCCCAGCTGCTCCACTTCCAATCCAGCTCTCTACCATGGCCTGGGAAAGCAGTGGAAGATGGCCCAAATCCTTGGGCCCCTGCACCCACATGGGAGACCTGGAAGAAGATCCTGGCTCCTGGGCTTCAGATCAGCACAGCTCTGGCCATTGCAGTCAACTGGGGATTGAACCAGTGGATGGAAGACCTCTCTCTCTTTGTAACTCTCATTTTCAAATAAACAAATAAATAAATCTTTTTTAAAAACCCACTGATAAAACTTCAGAAAAGTACTTTGGAAAAAAGTAGTTGAAAACCTGCATAACAATTGGTTACCATCCAAAAGGTGCACAGGTTGATGAACAGTTCTTACAGCTTAGAGGTGAACTTCCCCTCAAAGCAAAAATAGCTTAAAACACCTTAAGAAGTTTTTAGAAGCACTAGAAAAAATACATAGATGAATTCTTCTTTGAACGGTTATAAGCAAAGTCTAACTATGCCTTAAAACCCTATTCAATAAAAGAAGAGAGAGATAAGGTGGTCAAGGACTGATGGGGTCACATCCAAGCAGTAACAGGGCCAACTGGCAGTGAATGGCACGGACCAGGTCAGAAACCACTGGTTCTTCAAAATAAGTAATAATAGTAAAGTACTATAATCTATCAAACACAGTAAAATCTAAACACCTGCACTAAAATAAATACATAAATATGAAGACAAGGGAAAAGTCCTTCCTTGCAGTAGTTAGCCAACTAATAAATATGAAGGGAAGAGTTAAATTAGGAATCACCATTTGCCAACCATAATAAAAAACTGATTCAGGCAAAACTCATCAATGAATGCTATAACTAGTACGTCAAAGTTTGAGGAGTGAAGATATTTAAATAGTTTCAACACATCCCATATAAGTGTGCCAGTTAGAGTCCTGGCTGCTCTACTTCCATTCCAGCTCCCTGCTGATGCTCCTGCGAAAGCAGTGGATGATGGCCCAAGAGTCTGGGCCCCTGCACCTACGTGGGAGATCTGGATGAATTTCCTGGCTCCTAGTTCCAACCTGGACAAGCCCTGTCTGGGGCAATTGCAGCCATTTAGGAAGTGAATCAGCAGATGGAAGATTCTTTCCCTCTCTCTGCCTCTCAAATAATCTTAATTTAAAGGGGTGGGGGGGCAACGCTGTGGTGTAGCAGGTTAGGTCGCCGCCTACAGTGCCAGCATCCCATATGGGTGCCGGTTCGAGACCCGGCTGCTCCACTTCCGATCCAGCTCTCTGCTACGGCCTGGGAAAGCAGTGGAAGATGGCCCAAGTCCTGGGGCCCCTGCATCCACGTGTGAGACCTGGAAGAAGATCCTGGCTCTTGGCTTCGGATCGGCGCAGCTCCGGCTGTTGTGGCCAATTGGGTGGGGAGTGAACCAGCAGATGGAAGACCTCTCTCTGCCTCTCCCTCTCTCTATGTATAAGTCTTTCAAATAATTAAATAAATCTTAAAAAAAAAAAAAAACTAACACTCAATTTCTTTAAAAAAAAAAAATGAAGAAGAAATGGATCAGCTGGGACTTGAACCAATGCCCCAAAATGGGACCTCGGTGTCACAAGCAGTGGCTTAACACACTGCACCACGGTGCAGAGCCCAAACTATCTGCATCTCAACAGAGGTATGCGGGCGCATGTGTAGACATTTGTCAGAGCTCACACAAGCTGTGCACATTTTAATGCATTAGTTTCTGATGCAAAATTTCTATCAAAAGGAAAAACCAGTAAACAAAGAATGGATTGAATCATAGTCTGAAATGAGTCAAAAAATGAAACAGATTACTGGATGGATTTCTGGAGGGACAAGGTCAAGGGCTACATACGCAGGGAAGAACCTGAGGGAGCTCGGTGTGCACTGCAAAAACCATCCCCTCCCTGACCTGAAGACGCCCATCACACAACACTGGAGACAGCCGAGTGAAGCTGGTGAGGACCGCTCACTACATCCTGTCAGGGAAACACGTTTCTGTCCGCCACACAGGAGAGCTGATTTTTAGAAGTATTCTCAAACACAAGACTGTAAGAGCCAGTGCCTCATCGTCTGAGTCTTACTCTGAAATGGCTCTACAAACATTCTAGAGACACATGGTTACGTAGATAGAAAATCTTGAAAGTGGTTTCACTGCCCTCTCTTCCAACTCTTATGTTTGAAATATTTCATAATAAAAACACAGAACTACCTGGGTTGGAGGTTTCCTGGGGTCACCGCTCCCATCGAGCTGGGTACCAGATGCTAGATGAACATAGGCTGAGGCTGGCTGGCTCGGTCCCATCATGTCAGAGCACAGAACAACACTGACAGCCTTGTCATAGGCAGCAGGCTTCCCTGAAACCGTTCCTAAAAGAAACAAGACTGTTTTCAGCCCATCAGTGTTGAAAACAACAAACCCATGCCCATGATCATTCAGCAAGAGTCCACAATTAGCCCACGGCAACCTCATGCTGAGGACTGCTTAAGGATAAGTATATAATAGTTTCATGATAAAAGCAAGCACACTTTTGAAAATCTTTTTTTTTTTTTTAACTTATTTGACAGGTAGAATTAGACAGTGAGAGAGAGAGACAGAGAGAAAAGTCTTCCTTCCATTGGTTCACCCCCCAAATGGCAGCTACAGCCAGCATGCTGCCCCGATCCGAAGCCAGGAGCCAGGTGCTTCCTCCTGGTCTCCCATGCGGGTGCAGGCGCCTAATCACTTGGGCCATCCTCCACTGCCTTCCCGGGCCACAGCAGAGAGCTGGACTGGAAGAGGAGCAGCCGGGACTAGAACCCAGAGCCCATATGGGATGCTGGCGCTGCTGGCGGAGGATTAGCCAAGTGAGCAACAGCACCAGCCCCTGAAAATCTTTTCAAAACAGGGAGTCACTATTTCAAATCTCAAGGGTCTCCAGGAAAACGCAGAAAACCAGAGCTCGGCTACAGAGAACTAGCACTTTCCCACAGGGTGGCTTTTACAGACGTACACTCTAACTACCAGCACGCTGCTTCCCTCCCACGGGGGCCTACGTGCACAGAACTCTGAACGGCTGTAGACTCACAGGCTCACAAGGCCTAGGTGTAACCCAGGATCTGCCTTTCACTGGCTGAAAGGTCTCTCGATCTGCAACCTCCCCATCTCCCCAGAGCCCGAAAAACACCCTTGTCACTGCCTCTGCCAATCCTGAAGGCCTTGCTACACGGGACACTTCATGATCCCCTCCCTCAGAGCTGATCACACGCTGCGTGCTCTCCCGCCATTTACCTATTGCACAGGGTTACGTCTCGTCGTCCCGGCTAGACAGGGTTCCTTGAAGACAAGGGCTTTGTCTTGCTCTTCTATTTTTCACAACTCAATGATCTGAGCACAGCGGACAATTTAAATGTGTTCTAAGTTGATATTCTGTGAACTGTCTAGTTTTAAATGCCCTGGGGGAATCTGTCTCAAAGAAACCTATAGTAAACCAATTGGGAAATTCCAGGTTAGAAAAAAAAAAAAAAAAAAACCAACTCCCTAATGTAAGCGTTTGAATAAATGCAAGGTTTAGGGACAGGATTTCCTTAGACAGACGTATCTACAGGCGGGTGAAGGCAGGCGTCCACGATCGCTTATTCTGAGGCTGCAGACAGGATCAGAACAGTAGACGGGAGGCACATGAGCGAGGCGGTCCCGACCAGCCTGCCACCAGCACAGGCAGGGGCGGAAGCAGCAACACGTGGTCTGCAGAGTCGGGGCCACGGCCTCAGCAACGTCCACGTGCTCAGTCCTTTCCCCCGACTCCCTCCACGTGCCAAACACCCAGTGGTCCATTCCACTAGGAGAAAGCAACGGGCTCCCCACGGTTCCAGGATACCTCAGGTGACGTTACACCTACACACAGACACACACACACAGACACACACACACGCAGGAAGTCCAGGGACACCCCCAGCACTGCTCCCCTGGATGTAAAGTCCTGGCACTCTATCCTCACAAATCTGTCCCTTTCCTCCCGCTCCATCCCTACACAGCCTGAAGCACCTGCACAACGGCCTTCTCTCCCCGCATCCAGACACACCCCTACAGGCTGTGTCTTCACCTACTCCCCCAATCTGGTCCCTCCCAGAGCCCCAGGACACCCCCCAACTCTCTCTCTACACACACTACTGCACTGGCCCCCTCAACCTGTCCTCCCCGACGTAAGTCTCTCCCAAACCGCGCCCCCTCACTCTGAGGCCACACACTCCTCCAACCTGCCTCCCCCCATTCTGCTGGAGACCATCTCTGAAACGGTCCCTGGAAACCAGGGGTCCGCCCACAGCTGTACTTGTCCCTGACGCTCCCAGAATGCTCTCCCAGGCCGATTCCTCCCCCACAGGCCCCGGGCAGCTCCACAGCCCGGCCCCACGCCCACAGCTGGGAGCTACCCCCCCGGCCCGGCTCCTCCCTGCCTGTCCCTGAGCACCCTCCTGTGAAGGCCCCACTCCCTCTGTGGCCTGAGTCCGCCCCACTATCAGGTCTGAGACATCCACACCTACCTCTTCCGCTGTGGACGCGGTCACCCACACTGCAGCAGGCGCACGCCCCGCCGTGGGCACACCTACAGCCGCGAGCACCCCCACAGGCAGAGACCCCCTCACAGTCCCAGGGGCTGCCCCACTGTGTCTCCTCCCCCACAGGCTAGAGACACCTTCGGAGGCCATCTCCCCCACCACAGGCCCGGGAACCCCAGCAGCAGTGGGCATCTCAGTGGCTGGCCTCCTCCTCCACATGCCCAAGCTCCCCTCAGAGCTAGCACACCCCACTGTTGACCCGGGGACCCCAGAAGCCACGGGCACCCCCAGGGCAACCGCAGGCACCTCTGCAGTCTCTCTTCTCCCTAACGTGTCCAGGACACACCCTGAGAGTACCTCGGCCCCCACAGCCAAGGGCACCCCTGCAGCCTGCCTCCCTCCCAGCAAGCACGAGATGCCCCCTGAGCCGGTCTTCTCCCCCGCGGGCCCAAGCAACCTCGCAGAGGTGGGCACCCCTACCCTCGTGGGGCCCTTGGCATCCGCTCGGCCCTCCACGTTCTCTCTCCTCCCCCACAAACCAGAGTAGCCTCCACAGCCAGCTTCCTCCTGCACAGGCCCAGGGGTCCTGGGAGCCACGGGCACCCCCCCGGCTGGGGCTAACCCGGCCATCGCAGGTATTCCTGTGGTCGGCCTCCTTCCCAGGAGGTCTGAGAGACCCCCAGACTCAGTCTCCGCCTCCAGAGCACCAGGTGTCCCGGGAGCCGCAGGCCCCTCAGTGGCCATGGGAAACCTGTCACTCTGCCGCCTTCTCCAGCACCTTGGGACATCCTCAGAGCCGGTCTCCCCTACAAGTCCAAGCACCTCAGGAACCACAGGGACCCCAACAGCCTGTCTCCTTCCCCAGGAGCCCAGGAAAGCCCCGGAGCCAGGCTCCCGCTCCACAGGGCCCCCCGACACTGGGGGTCTTGCGGCAGCCTGAGCCATCCTCCATAGGCTCGGCCCATGTCTGGAGCTGCCCTCCTGCCACGCGGGGTCTGCTGCCCACACGGCGGCAGGCACTGTGGCAGGCACCCCCAGCGCTGCGCAGCCCCCCGCGGTGGCACACCTGTGCCTAGGCACACCCACAGCTGTCTCAGACCCCTCTCTGGCCCGCCTCCCCCCGCACGGACAGGAGCCGTCCCCACAGCTAGCCTCCTGCTCCCCGGTGGCCTGCCCCCGTTCCCACACATCCCCACTGTACACCTCCCCCCCGACAAGCCCTGGCGCCGCTGGAGGCACCCCCAGAGCCTGCTCCCTCTCCCACAGCCCCGCCACACCCCCAGAGCTGGTCTCTTCTCCCATGGCTCCTGAGACCACTGCAGCCTGGGCCACCTCCGCTGGCTGCTCTGCTCCCCACAGCCCTGTGTCCCTCCCCAAAGCCCTGGAGACTGCCGCGGCCTGCTCCATGTTCCACAGGCCCGGGGCACCCCCAGAACCTGCCTCCTGTCCACCGGGACTAGAGAGCTGCCCCGTCCGTAGAGCTCCCCAGGACTCCGGGCCGCCCCCAGAGCCTGTCTCTACCCACACAGCCCGCCCCCTTCCCCTGAGTCCAAGGTCACTGCCGCAGCAAGCCTCCTCTTCCACAGCACAAGGCATCCCAGTGGGCTGTCCCGTGCCCCACCAGCCAGGGATTCCCCCAGAGCCCACAGCCTCATCTTGCCTCCCAGCCCACGTGCCTGGGGCCCCCACAGAGGCTGCTTCCTCTTCCCCAACTCTGGGGACCCCCACGGTATCAGGCACCCCCATGGCCTGTCCCCTTCCCCACAAACCTGGAGTATCCCCACAGGTGGCCTCTTGGGCCAGGGCCCCAGGAACCTGCCCTAGCGGCCCCCTCCCCCACAGACCCGGAGTCCCCCCACAGCCTCTCTCCCACACCGCAGCCTCAGGCACTCCCTCGGGCTGCCCTTTTCCCCAGGGGCCTGGGCCACCCCCAGCCTTAGGCACGCCCGCAGCTTGTCCCCTCTCCAACAGGTGTGGGGCAACCCCAGAACGCGTCTCTGTAGCCCCAGCAGCACCCACAAAGGAGGCACTGTCCCGGCTTGGCCCTGCCCACAGACGCAGGAGGCTCTCTGGCCACCTGCTCCTAACCGGCCAGCCGTGGACGGCACGGCGGCCCGCGGGAAGGCCCTGGCCTGGCCTTTCACCCAGGGCCCCGTGAGCCCGCAGCGGCTCGTCTCCACCCAGGACGACCGGCCAGGGACACCCCTCTCCACCGGCCCCTCTCCTGCAGGCATGGGATGCAGCTCCACCCGGCTTCCTTGCCCGCATCCTGAAGCTGCCCTCATGGCCTGCACCTTCAGCCACAGCTCCAGGATGCTCTCGTGCCTCCACCGAGCCCGGACGACCTTTCCTCTCGCACACCCGGGGACTTCTGTCGTCCGACTCGTCCTCCCCAGACCTGGTCACCCACACGGACCCAGCCGGCCCCACCACCTCGGGCTGCCTCACAGCTCCGTTCACCCACACAGCCCCTGGGTCGCTTGCAGCCTCGCTCGAGCCCACGACCCCAGGCGTCCCCGCAGCCTCGTCCGCGCGCGCGGGGCCGGCTGTCTGCACAGCTCGTCTCCTTCCCCTAGGCCGCCGACGGTCCTGCAACCTCTCTGCACCCACACAGCGCGTCTCGCCCACCGAGGACCTCGCCTGGCGCCGGGCTCCACATCCTCGAGACGTCCCTGCAACCCTTCTCTTCCCCCACGGCCGCCGAGCCGCCCGCCCGGACCTGCTGGGCCCCACACAGCGACCCGGCATCTCTGCCGCCAGCTCGGCCGCGCGCAGGCAGCCAGGGCCAGGCCGCCCGGCCAATAGCCCGGTTCACCGAGCCCCAGGACAACTGCCGTCCTCCCCGACACAGCCCCCGGGGCACTTTCTCCACACGCGCACTCACACGCTCGGCTCCCGCCCTCGCAGCCTTTCTCCCTCACAGCCTCCCACCCAGCCCGCCCCCGCCCAGTCTCAGACGCCCGCCCCCCAGCCCCGTATCCCCCTAAAGCCTAGACAGGAGCTAAGCGGGATCTGCCTGAGTCGAGGTCTCCTGTCCCCCCCAGGTTCAAGACTTCTACCGCAGCTTCCCAGAATCCCCCCAGCTCCAACCCCAGCCCACCTGGCCTGGGGCGAGGCGCGGCTACTAGGAGGCAGGCGCGGGGGGGCTAAGGTAGCCAACTAGGCCTCGTTTCCGGCCGCTCGCCCAGTCGCCATAGCAACAGGCGCGGGGCTGCCTGGGAGCCGTTGAGGCTCCTGAACGTTTAAGGGTCCAGGTGCAGCATGGAGATTAGGTTTTGTAGCCTGTACCCATGCGGTTCGGACCGGCACCAAATTAGGGCATAATCCTGGGTTTGAGAGTGAAGTTAGGGCAGAAACTTCTGAGAAACGAGAAAAGGAGGACGGTGCGGGGAGTTATGACCTTCGGAGGCCCCCGTAGCACGTCAGAGCGACGCCGGCTTCCGCATGCCCCGCCCCGCCCACCCGGAAGCGGTGTCGCCCCGCCCCACATGGGTCCCGCCCCGCGGCCGCGGGACCGGAGCACTTGGGCGACGTCTGGCCGAGCGCTAACCTGATGGCTGGCTACGAGGAGGTGCGCGTTTCCGGCTTCGAGGAGTTCAACCGGGCTGTGGAGGAGCACAAGGACAAAACCATTTTCGCCTACTTCTCCGGTTCTAAGGACGACGAAGGGAAAAGCTGGTGCCCTGACTGCGTGAAGGGTGAGGCCGGGACGGGACCCCGGGGCCGCTGTCCAGCGGAGGCTACCGCCGGAGGGCAGGGATCGGCGAGGAATCCCGGTCCTGGAGGCCCGCGAGGCGTGCACACCCTACACGGATGACCTGGGGCCCCAGGTCCCTCGAGACAGCTTTTCCCTTGCCCCTAGGGTTTCCCTGCTCCTGGCGAGGGGCGGTCGGGACCGGGACTCGCCGTGCGCTGACCTCCTCGGTCGCCCGACCACCTTCGGGTTGAAGTCCGAGTACTTCCCAAGCTGGGGGCGGGGACGGGGTGTGGAGTTGGGGGGGGGGGGGTCATCGTCTCCTTTGCACTCTTTTCAAAAAGCTGAGCCGGTCGTTCAGGAGGCGCTGAAGCATGCCACGAAGGGATGCGTGTTCATCTACTGCCAAGTGGGAGACAGATCTTCGTAAGTGGCGGCGTGTGCCGCGCCCCCAGACCCGCACCCGGCCCCGGCCACCTGACCGAGAGGGCACTTCAGGCATCTGGCCTGGCGCAAGTCCAGAGCCTCACTCTTCCACGGAGTGTGTGTCTTCGCCATACTTCCGCGAAAGCACACTTTCCCTCTGCAGCGTGTCCAGGGCACTAGATAAGTTGCAGGCCTAGGCTGTTGTATTAAATGGTTACGAGAACAAGGGTTATGGACAGAGTGAGGTGTAGAACCCACCAACTGTTAACCTAAGTGAAGTTTCTCGTGTCACTTTCTTTTTGCAATAGTTGGAAGGATCCAAATAATGACTTCAGAAAAAAGCTGAAAGTAACGGCAGTGCCTACGCTACTTAAATACGGAACGGTGAGTGCGTCCTGTCCAGTCGCATTTGAAAAAGATCCTGACATCTCATCTCCAAACACCACATCGTTTATGGAATGCAGTACAAACATACAACAAAGGGCATCTCCTCTAGTTCAGTCATGCCCCAAGGGAGTCTAAATTAAAGGTCTGGGAGGAAGCACAGGGCAGTCAGCTTGCCAGGTATTTTAATGACTCATCAGGAAAATGTCCTGTTTCATAAACCTTGTTAGAACTCATCAGTTTCTGTGTTCTAAGATCCCTGTCGTTCAAGGCAGAACTGCACTCCTAGTGACATTTTCTAACAAAGATTTGACTTCTCTTACAGCCTCAGAAGCTGGTAGAATCTGAGTGTCTCCAGGCCAACCTCGTGGAGATGTTGTTGTCTGAAGATTAATATTTGATGATGGCAGTTGTGTCTTGATCTCCTGATTTGCTGTAGTATGAAAAAAACTGAATGTTTGCTCTGGATTCATTGTTAGCAGTAAACAAATATTAAAAAATCAGTGTATGTCAACACTAAAGAATGCTATTAAATACTCATGAACTTTTTGTTTGCTTGTAACATGGAAATCTTTAAGATTTAACTGAGGGGCCGGCACCGTGGCTCACTTGGTTAATCCTCGCCTGTGGCACCGGCATCCCATATGGGCGCTGGGTTCTAGTCCTGGTTGCTCCTCTTCCAGTCCAGCTCTCTGCTGTGGCCCTGGAGGGCAATGGAGGATGGCCCAAGTGCTTGGGCCCTGTACCCGAATGGGAGACCAGAAGGAGGCGCTTGCCTCCTGGCTTCGGTTCAGCACAGCGCCAACCGTAGCAGCCAATTCAGGAGCGAACCAATGGAAGGAAGACCTTTCTGTCTCTCTCTCTCTCTCACTGTCTATAACTACCTGTCAAAAAAAAAAAAAAAAAAAAAAAAGATTTAACTGAAATAAGTTGTCTTGTGACCATCACAGGAACATATTATTATAAGAGTGTAGTAAACAAGGTCCAAGCTCTATTAAAGGGGCACAGATCTTTGTACCTTAGATCCCCTGAGTGCAAAGCAGCGGCTCCTCCCAAGCGGCTCCTCTGGCTATGGCATGTCGACCGTAAGCAGACCAGGGCCTCGTCCGTCTGCCTGCCACAGGCAGCGTTGTTCTTAGGCTCTGAAGCCTGGCAATACCTGTCTGAACCTGTTTCTTCCTTTAGAAGCAAGGATGAAATGAGAACACAGGGAAGCACTTCACACAGTGCCCAACTTGCGGTACCTGCCAAGTAACTGTTCACTTTCCCAAAGCAGCACAAGTATGAGTGGTTCCCGTTCCTTGTCGCTGCTGTTGTTTAAGGTCAAGAGTCCACTCTGGTTAACCAAACTTCTCCCTGCCCATTCTGGGTCACTGATAGACCACTGATTCTTAAAGCTGTCTTACAAAGCAGGTACTGGTACAGTATCTGCTCTGCTGCAGGACCCAAGAATCTTCGTGCATTCCCCGCTCCGTTATTTAAGGAGGTCCCCGATCCCAGTCCTCTCCTTGAGACAGACAGGTTCCAGCAGATGGACCCGCCAAGGTACCACTCTGTGTCCTGAGCAGTCAGGACATTTGGCCCTACCCCGCTCCATGCCCCACTACCTCCTTAAGCTGTTCTAAAGCACCTAATTCTCCCGTCTGTATTCAGCTGATTGTATCAAATGCTCTTAAAAACATACACAGGAAACCAGTGTAGAACAATCTGGTTTAACAGAAATACTCTGTTACAATAAAAAGTTAGTTGGGTTAGAAAGCACACTGAAGGGTCTAGTTGCGTCCACAATGAAGGGAGGCAGGAAAGTCTGTTCTCACTGTACAAACATACATTATATACATGTCTTCAGAGCCCGGTCCGCTTCCAGCTTCTCATTTTCCTGACGTATTATTTTGCTGTTGCTGCTCTGCCAAGGCTTGCTGAAGGCGCATCCGCTTCCGGGAATAGTGCTGCCAGTGCAGAATCTGCTGCTCGTCAATGAACTTCGCACACTGCGCGTTCACGAGCTCCTTTCGGAAGTGTTCGTACTGAAGCAGTTCCAGCATGTGTAAACACTGAGGGTACCTGGTTTAAGTTCATACGTTAATGAGCCACATGGTTTAAGTCAAGACCAACTTACAGTTCAGTTACTCAACACGACTGGGTAGCCTATGAGTTCTAGTAACGTAACTTAAAAATAAGCTGTATTTTTGGTAGCGTAGGATTCTCCACTAGTCATCGAGAGTCAATATTACATAAAATTGTCCAAACCGAGAAAATTTAAGTTTAGAAAGATTAAATACTTGCCCAAGACCACACAACACAGTGACAGTAAGCTGAGTCAGAATTTGGGGACAAATCATGCTGTTCTAGCACATGTTTGGTAATTATGTGTTTAACTGGCAGCTGTTTATTGGTTTTCCATCAACAGTGATCGAAAGATAACTTTTTATTTAAAAGTGAGTCGGGCAAAAAGAACTACACACAGATACTGTCCTCAAACTTTCCTGGGACCTAGCAATTCTGAGGTTAGTTTACATATACTCTCAGCATGTATACCATGGTTAACGAGAGCCGAATTTGTAGCTATCAGAAGAGGAGTTACAGATAAGGAAAGGGAGCAGGTTAGAATAAACCCTGTGTTTTTACTTCAAACTTGCACTCGTGGCTCTTAATATATACAGATACAGAAACACAGGTGCCTGTGTGTGCCAAAGGCACAGCACACAGACACAGATCCCAGAAGCAATGACACTGGAGAAATGGCGGAGCCCACGGCTGGGACAGGCAAGTGCAAGCCGTGCCTGGAGGTCATGGAGAGCCAGGAAGAAAGGAGACGGTCAACACCGATGAGGCCATGGCTAAAGTACTGTTACCTGAGCATGCTCTCAGTGGCCAACCTGGGATAATTATAGAGCAATAAAACACACTTTTAATCCACAGAATTAAAAAACCTGGGAGTCTATACTGATAAACGTTAAATGAATGAATGGAGTAAAGGGGAATGTTCTTCCTTACAGTAGTTCCAGTTAGTAAATAAGGGTAGAATGGTGGAATCAGAAAACCATCCAACAAGTTTCTTAAACGGATGCTAAAATTAGTGGGCGAGAGTTTATTTAACAAGATATTTACATAGTCTCAAGGTATTTCCCCATAAGATACTGAACACACAAGAAGAAATAGTAACTGCGTGGAGAAACCTGGAAGGCACCACCTCAACCAATCAAAAGTGGCACCAGCAGTGGTGGCACAGCCACGTGATGCGACCCCGGCTATGCCCAGGATACAGTGTCACTTCTGTGTCACGGCCGTGAAAAATCAGCAACATAAAGAGCGAGGAACTCAGGTTACAGGAGACTAAGACGACATGACAGCAAAATGCAGCACGTGAGCCCAGCGTGGACACTGCACTGCACACGGGCCCCCGAGGGACAACTGGTCGGACCTGAATGATGATGTTCTGATTCCGACCACCGTACTGTGGCTATGTAAAACATCTGGGTGAAGAATACACAGGAATTCTCTTTATTCTTCCAGCTATTTTGTTAAGTGGCATTATTTCAGGTTGATATAAAACTGAAATAATTCAACTGGGTAGGGAGTATGCAGAGCCAGAACTGCACACGTGACATACACATGAGCGAGGCCTCCAGGTGAGATTCTGACTCGCTATGTTTGGAGCACAGCCTGAGCTCCGTCTAACAAGCTCCTGAATGAAACTCACTGGTGTGAAGACATCAAACAGCAGGGCCTGATAACAGGCTGCCCCTCTGAGATACTGAAGGTCTGCAGACTACACTCCACAAACACACTGCTGTAACCACGGGGAGCAGCTCTATTCACAGCTGCCCTGGCTCATTCCTTTGCATGGCAACAAGGCAGTTAAAACGATCTGGGGGGCCAGCGCCACGGCTCAATAGGCTAATCCTCCGCCTGCGGCGCTGGCACACCAGGTTCTAGTCCCAGTCGGGATGCCGGATTCTGTCCCGGTCGCTCCTCTTCCTGTCCAGCTCTCTGCTGTGGCCTGGGAGAGCAGTAGAGGATGGCCCAAGACTTTGGGCCCATGCACCCACGTGGGAGAGCAGGAAGAAGCACCCGGCTCCTGGATTCAGATTGGCGCAGTTCCACCCACTGCAGCCATTTGGAGAGTGAACCAACGGAAGGAAGAACTTTCTCTCTGTCTCTCTCACTGTCCACTCTGCCTGTCAAATTAAAAAAAAAAAAAAAAAAATTCTGGGGGGCTGGTGTTGTGACGTAGCGGGTAAAGCTGCCACCTGCAGTGCTAGCATCCCACATGGGTGCCGGTTCAAGTCCTTGGGCCCCTGAACCCGCGTGGGAGACCCAGAAGAAGCTCCTGGCTCCTGGCTTCAGATTGGCACAGTTCCAGCTGTTGCGGCCAATTGGGGAGTGAACCATCAGATGGAAGACCTCTCTCTCTCTCTCTCCTCTCTCTGTGTAACTCTTTCAAATAAATAAATAAATCTTAAAAAGATCTGGGCCTTGAACAGGTACTCCACCTCTCTAAGGTTCAGTTTCTTCACCGTAAAATAAATGAAAGTGACGACCAAGAGAATGGTCTCAGGTAGCACTGAGTCTACGACTGGAACTTGGACACGCAATGAGCATCTGCGGTATGAAACAGAAAACAGTGTTCACAGTACAGACAGGACAGACTGTGAATATTCTGACAGGCTACCGGTCAATATGAGGAAATAGAAGCGGCACGAAAGTTCTGCATCAATTAAAAAAAAAATAAGATATGAACAGAGAAGTCAGCATCACTGATGAAAAGACCTGAGAAAGCACCCAGCATGCCACAGTGTAACGCCCTACCCCACCCTGAAAAGTGATGTCACCCTGAGTTCAATTAATAGAAGTGCCACGTCCACGTGGGAGAAGTGCCCTGCCCACTGAAGACCCGTGTTTAGCCGATGGCTCAACCGCGTTACCACACAACTGCCGATCTCTTCAGTGCACTCACGAGATGTCTGGAAGCCATGGCACTCGAGAAACGGGACAAGAAAACGACACCTGACTGACACACGACAGCTGCCTGTCCTCGCTGAGGGAGGCCTGCCAAGTAATGGAAGGTGCCTACGAGAGCCAGCTGCTTCCAGCTCCTGCAAGAGCCTGAGTGGGGAGGCTAAAGACCCAGGCCCCCAGATCTGATGCTAAAGAGTAGCTGGGAATCTGGATGCTGCTACACTGGAGTGCCGAGGCTCAAGTCTCTACTCCCAATTCCAGCCTCCTGTTAACACGTGCCCTAGAGACAGCGAGGGATGGCTCAAGCACCAGACTCCCTTTCACTCACACAGAAGACCTGGACATGGGGGTTCCAGGCTTCTGACTTCAACGCAGCCCAGCCTGGGCGGTTGTGAGCATCTGGGCAGCTAACTGGCGGATGGGAGTGCTAATAAAATGTTATTTAACAAAGAAAAGTGACTTGGATAGAGAGCAAGCTCGTAACATTTTTCTCTCAAACCTTTGTCTAAGCAAAGGCTTTTTTTTTGGGGGGGGGGTGCTGGATGAAGATGCCTGCTCCTCATATAGAAGTGCCTGGGTTCGAGTCCCCACTATGCCCTGATTCCAGCATCCTGCTAGCGCACACCCTGGGAGGCAGCAGACGATGGCTCAAGTATTTGAGTCCCTGCCACCATATGAGAGATGCAAGCTGAGTTCCTGATTCCCAGCTTCTGGCCTGGCGCAGCCATGGCTGCTGTGGGTATTTGGGGAGTGAACCAGCAGATGGGCGACTTCTTTCTCTCCCTCTGTCTGCCTTCCAAATAAAATAATTTTTAAAAAAATTTGAAAAGCTTCACCACTGCTTTCCAACCACCTGGCTAATACTAAGCAAAGTAGTAAGTGCAGCCTTCCGCATTGAAAGGGAATAGGTTTCTGGTCATAATATGCTCCTTGCAAATGTAATTGGCCTTCAAGTCAAAGTGTCTCTGGAACAACTTGAATGGCAAACACACACACACGTAGTTCAAAAAGTTTGTGGAAAAACCTGAATTAAAAGCTTATTTGGATATAAAAAGCTTGTAGTCTATACTTGGTTATTTCATATTACACAATTTTTCAAGAACTTCTGGAAATCCCTTACACATGGACTCCAAAAGTTTTTTGCACCAATACAAACTCGTCTTTTGGATCCATTTTCCATTTACTTTTTGAAGGACCGGCATGTGTACGGAAACAGTTGTGAGTGTGCGGTGTTTTTTAGTTACTGAATGTGAAGCATTTGGGCACAAAGATCGCTGCTGGAAGACACAGTGACATCCTCCGCATCTTCCTCACAGGTACTTCTGTGTGATCTTTTATTCTCAGTCAATGGCTATGTCGCTGCATGTGAGGACCAGAGTCCTTCAGACCAGAAACCCAGAGAAATGGGGAGACTGGTAGAGAGGAGGTCAAGAAGACTGGGCCAGATGCGGCCGGGCCGCAGACTTCACTGCAGGGAAGGGAGGGCCCCCCAGGTCTAAGGAACAGACAGCATGTTCTGAGCTACAGTTCCCAGGGACCACGTCGGCTTCTGGGTAGAGAATCGTGTTGCTTTATTGGCTTTGGGTGAGGTAGTGAGGAAAGAGCAGAAAACAGAGCCAACAGTGAGTGATTTCTGCAGGAATCCAAATTAAGAGGTAGGCAGTGACAACCGAACGCGCAGAACGTGCAGATTCAACACACATTTTTACCAGTGTGAAACTAAGAAGTATTTACGTATCCACGTTTTGGGTTTTAGTAAAACATACATACACCGAGGATTACAAAAAATTAAACTTACTTTAGATACTTGGCATATTCTGGTTCTTTCCAGTACAGCAAGTACTTAAGATAATTAACAAACGCTTTGTCTTTGAAGTAACCTCTTTGAGCAAGAACTGAAAGGCATTAAAAAAAAAAAAAAAAACCTAGGTCAGACGGATGCTTGGACTACCACCAGCCCACAAGTCCTAGTTTGCTCAGTTACAGCTACAGAATTGCTTTAAGTGCAATTCTATTCAATTGAGAATATATAAAAGTAGATACTATTAGGAAATGCAACTCTTGTCAAAAAATCATTAATAGCTATTCAATTTAATTAGGTGAACAACTTACAATTAAGGTAATTTGGGTTGGCTAAACACTGTACAAATTCCAACTCTAACTGAAACCGAAGTCGATTTCCAGCATCATCTAGGAGAGAAGACAGCAAAAATCACCCAAGACAAAGGTCGCTAAATACAACACCGATGGGTCGAAAGGAAACAGCGGCCAGGAAACCTGCGTAATGCTGAGCTACACTTCTGGGAGGCATAATTCCTTAGGAACCTAAGAAAAGGAGAACGCTGATTAAGGCAGCTAGAAACCCCTCTAACGTTGAAGAGAAGTCATCAGAGACAAGGGGAACACAGATGCGGCAGGAGACCTCCCTCGGGTGGGTCACTGGAGCCATCTCAGCAGTGAGTGACCGGGTATGGGGTGACAGTCTACCTCCCTGTATTTTATTAATACACTGTAGCTACTGTCGATGGCGAGCTAGGAGACTGCGGAGCGCGGGAAGACCCCGAGTGGCAGCATCAGTGGCAGGATAACGCAAGCTGGTCCAGGGCGCCCCAAACTCATGCAAGCTCCCGCGGAAGCAGACCGAAGTGCTGTCTGGTGACACGACTGTCACTTTCAGGCCCTGTTTATGCTCCTGGTGGTCTTCCTACTTTTGACTGGCTCGATATTACGGTTCGTGGTGAAATAAGCCGTGATTATAGATTGTATCAAATTTATGCCTTGGCAACAAAAAAATGAAAAGTAGGGGAGGGAAGGCGAGTGGGGGGAGGAGGAGGGAGGGAAGTATGGGTCTCCTGGAACTGTACCTATGCAATCTGTTCTCTTTATACTAGTTTTGTTTTTTTTTTTAAAGAAAAGATTCCAGTGCTGTCCCTCAGTCTCACCCACGCTGGGACGAAGGTGGGGTCGCTGAGTGAACAGCAAGCGGGGAGAAAACATGTGCGAAGCCACCAAACTCTGAAAAAGGCAAAGCTGCCGGCACCTTCCCAGATGCTCCAAGAGCCCTCTCGCCTCCCGGGTCCCACTCCAAGCCCCTTCCGTTAGGCCTGAAGGAGGCCCCGGGCAGGCAGGAGAAGGGGTCCGGGCGGAGGACTGCTCTACCCTCGGAGCCGCCCGGCTCAGAGCGCGACTCACCTGTCTCCATGGCGACAGCGGCGGCCATAACAAGAAACGACGCGAACTCTCACCAGCTCGGCAGAGACTGCCCAGTCTGGCTGGGGAAGTTCCGGAAGCCTCAGCCCCCCGCTTCCGGCCCCGGGGCACTGTGGGATACGGGGGCGGGCCCAGCCGCGCTGGGAGGACAGCGGTTCCGCCCATCGCTGCTGGCTCCGCCCGCTCGGGCTCCTGAACCTGGCGCTGCGGCCCGGGGAGCGCCGTGGTTGGAGGTGTTTCACGTCAGCTTGTAGTGGCGTTGCCGCCTAGGAGGCAGCTCGCTATTGTGACGTCATTTCTCACCTCGTGACGTAGCGTAGAGGTGTGCTGAGCGGTCCCCTCAACACCTGTAGAATGGCCTCGGCTCTTGGGGGAAAGCCGTCCTCACCCCAGTGTGGACACCTCGACTTCCAGGAAGCGGCTCCCTCGTGCCCTCCCGCGTGCTCAGGGCCTCGTCAAAGCGGTCCAGCCGGGTCCCCCAGTCGCCTTTGGCTTCCTGGAGGCAGCCCACATGTCGGTGTGAGAATCAGCCCAGCCGCGGTTCCTGGGTTCCTGCGCGAGCCGCGCCCTGGGCCTCCCCACGCATGACAAAGGCCGCACGCGGGGCTGACGGGCAAAGAGGCGGAGAGTGGTGGTATAGAGGGATGGACAGGGAAGGCCTTGCTGGTTAGGCCACAGTGGAGCTGAGACCTGTGTGGTGACACCGAGCGCCCCACCCCCACCCGGGGGTCTCAGCGGAGTGCACCCTAGGCCGGAGGAAGAGAAGTGCGAAGGGTGTGTGGGAGCAAGCTTGCAACGTTCCCCGAGAGAAGAAGGGAGAGCTGGGAGCTTCGTGTGTGAGAGGCAGAGAGGGGATGGGAACAGGCAGGACCAGTTCCTAGAGGGTCTTTGAGTCACCACGGGAGCTCAGGTTCTAGTCTAACAGGAACACGCTGCATAGTTTTCGGCACAGGACTGACATGATGCAACCGCATTTTTAAAATACCTTCTGCCTTCCGTGTGGGCTGCAGAACAGTTGTTCTCATCCTGGGGGGTGTGGGGGGGGAGGATTTTGTCCCCCAGGGGATACTTGGCGATGTTTAGAGACGTTTGTGTTAGGTACAAGGAGTGCTGCTGCCAAGTCGCTGGTAGAGGCCAGGGATCCCAGCACCAAAACCACAGAATCACGGGGCCTAACGTGTCAGTGGTGCCCAGTTGGAGACGCGCTGCAGCTGGGAGAGGAGAGGCCTGGGAGAGGCTCCAGAGGAGGGCAGAAGGCCGTGCCCTCCCCTGGACAGTGTATGTGTGTGTGTGTGGGGGGGGGTGTCTGTTGCTTTTTGACCCTGCCTTGCAGTCAGTGATTTACCCAGCAGGACAAAGGGGTCTTCCAGCAGGCCAGCGATGGCCCAATTGTGTCTACTGCTGGGAGCAGAACATCTGCCATTTCCAGTCCATACTCGGGCTCCTACATGTAAAGGCAGGGCAGTGAACTGGGCCATCCCCTGGAATAGGGGCTCAGGCCAGGAGAAGTCATAAAGCCCCAGAGGCTACCGTAAAACTGCTGCAGCCCAGTCCTTAGACTTGGGAGTTGCAGTCTGTGGTGAGCTTACTGATTCTTTTTAACATTACAAACTGTGGCCGGCGCCGTGGCTCAATAGGCTAATCCTCCACCTTGCGGCGCTGGCACACCGAGTTCTATCCCCGGTCAGGGCACCGGATTCTGTCTCGGTTGCCCCTCTTCCAGGCCAGCTCTCTGCTGTGGCCCAGGAGTGCAGTGGAGGATGGCCCAAGTCCTTGGGCCCTACACCCCATGGGAGACCAGGAGAGGCACCTGGCTCCTGCCTTCGGATCAGCGTGGTGCACCAACGGCAAAGGAAGACCTTTCTCTATGTCTCTCTCTCTCTCACTGTCAACTCTGCATGTCAAAAAAAAAAACCATTACAAACTGTGTGCATTGTGTACAAATATTGTCTTAATAGGTTTTTTTAAAATGAACAAGAGTTACTTTAACAGGGTTCCTTATTAAGGTTTTTATTATAAAAATAGTATGCACTTAATGTCACAAAGTCAAAGATACGTAAAGACAATTCAGCAATTATGATCACTCCTTTCCATTCCCATCCTCTAGAAATAGCTGACGTAAGTGACTTTTAAGTCCTTCCAGGCCCCTCTCCATTAAATGTTCTTCATTTTTTTTAAGATTTTTTTACTTATTTATTTGAAAGGCAGAGTTATAGAGAGGCAGAGAGAGAGAGAGAGAGAGAGAAACCTCTTCAGTCATCTGGTTCACTCCCCAAATGGCTGCAATGGCTGGAGCTGTGCTGATCCAAAGCCAGGAGCCAGGAGCTTCTTCCAGGCTCCCACGTGGATGCAGGAGCCCAAGGACTTGGGCCATCTTCTACTGCTTTCCCAACCCATAGCAGAGAGCTGGATCGGAAGTGGAGCAGCCAGGACTCAAACCAGTGTCCACATGGGATACTTAATAGTACCTGGAAGACTGTTCTAACACTACTCTGAAAAAGCCAAACACCTAGTTTCTGGATGATTCTTTCCCTAGAAAGGAGACGGAATCCTGGTAGCTTCCTTTTCTTTTCCCTGTTTCATAGGAGGTATGTTGCATAGATTTCTTCCTCCCAATTTCATTTATTCATTTTTCAAAGCTGAAAGCCAGGGAGATATGCACAGAACAAGAAGGTGTCAAAAAGGCGAGAGCGGTGAAGAAAAGGGATGTGACGATGTTTGTCACGCATGCTGCTTTTGCAGTCAGATTCCACAGCTCTAAAATTACGCTGTACATTAAAGAAGTCCTGTTTGTCATAGCTATTAAGTACCTGCTGCACCAGTTTGTGTCACCTGTACTGTGTGTCATCTTTCTCACATTGTGCTCTCTTGGAAGCCCCAAAGGGACATGGTGCTGTTGTCTCTGTGGTGTGTTATGTAACACTTTTAAAAAGTACAGTTAGGCGGGCAGCACCGTGGCACAGTAGGTTAAGCTGCCGCCTGCTGCACCAGCCCAGTTCCAGTCCCAGCTGCTCCACTTCCAATCCAGCTCCCTGCTAATGTGCCTGGGAAAGGAGTGGAAGATGGCTCGAGTACTTGAGCCCCTGCACCCATGTGGGAGACCCGGAAGAAGCTGCTGGCCCAGCCCTGGCCATTGTGGCCATTTGAGGAATGAAGCAGTGGATAGAAAATCAATCAATCAATCTCTCTCTCTCTCTCTGTAACTCTGCCTTTCAAATAAATCATATATATAGTTGGAGCCAGTACTGTGGCACAGCAGGTTAAGCTGCCTCTTGCAACACAGGCATCCCATATTGGACTGCTGGCCAGCACTTCCAGTCCAGCTCCCTGCTAACGTGCCTGGGAAGGCAGTGGAAGATGGTTTAAGTTATTGGGCCCTTGCCACCCACAGAGGAGACCAGGATGGAGTTCCAAGCTCCTAGATTCAGCCTAGCCCAGACCTCATTGTTGAGGCCATTTGGGGAATGAACCAGTAGACAGAAGATCTGTTTCTCTCTTTGTCTCTCCTCTCTCTGTGTCACTCTGCCTCTCAAATAATTTTTAAATTTATATTTAAAATACCACTAATTTATTAAATCCTATGGATTTTTTTTTTTTTTTTTTTTTGAGAAACAGAGATAGCTCCAGTTCCCTAGTTCAACCCTATATGTCCGCAATGGCCCAGGCTGGGCCAGGCCAAAGTGTAGAGCCAGAAACTCAGTCTGGGCCTCATGTGAGTGGAAGGTATCCAAGGACTTGGACCATCACCTGCTGCTTCCCAGGGTGCACATTAACGAGAAGCTGACATCGAGAACAGAGCCGGGACTCAAACGCAGGCATTCTGAAGAGGAGTGTGAGCGTCCCGGCCGGTGTCTTACCCACGAGACCAGATGCTCACTCCTGCTGTGTTGTGCTGAGCACAATGTGTGCACAGTGATGAGCGAGGAGCAGTGGTAGCCCCCTGCTCCCAGCCAAGCCGCCAGCGGCTCAGTCTGATAATCCCTTGGATGTATTGTGCTAGGTAGCAGTTGTGACTTGCCTCCAGGTACTGTCAACCAGGTTAGTTTGAAAAGCTAAAGAAGTAAAAATCCTTCTGAGAAAGAAGTCGACACTCATTCTCCACACTTGATCTTAGCAAAAGGCCAAGAGGGGGTAACAGTCAGTCTGAAAACCCTCTCGTGTGTATGTGGGCGGAGAGCACTCACTGTATCCATGGTATGTATTTACTGAAGGTCGTTTCAAACATACTTGGCAGAAACCATTGGCAGAGTTCTCTTTCTGCAGACCACACAAGCTGGAGGAAGCACCAAGGACCCAGCCAGCAGAGTATCTGGTTCAAATTCTTATTTAGAATTTCTGGACCTCTACACTTTTTGTTGTTCCTGTACCCAGATGGCTAATACAGGTACTCAGGCCTTGTACACTTGGCCCAGGCTTCACCCCTGCTTTTCCTCCCAGCAGTCTAAACCCTTCCCGTCCTGAGTAGCATGCATGGTTAGAAGCGCAGGGCTGCAGAGAACACTTTCCCCATGGGGACTGAAACCAGGGGAGGTTTGTCTCCTACAGCTGGAGGCTGATGGGACGTCACCTGTTTCTCTTTCCCGCCTTTATCTTCCTAAGTACTCCAGCTTTGCCTTCTTGCTCACTGCCTGATCCTTACGTGATACCTTTGAACTGCCAGTCCTCACACCTGCAATCCAGGTGGACAGAAGGAACTGGGGAAGCAGCAGGGTGTTTGCCAAGCAAGGGTTTGCCTGATTAGTTGGGAAGGGAGACTTTTCCTGAGGACTCCTGTTGGCCAAAACTTAATCACGGTTGTTATCCTGAGCTGCAAGGGAGGCTGGGAAATGCAGTATATGCAGCGTTCAGCCTGTCTGGGAGAAGGTGTTTAGGAATCGGGGTTGAGTAAGCCAGCCTGTCCCGCTTTCTACACCTTCCTTCTAAGGACAACCTTTATATCCGGTGACCTTCACGAGTTCTCCCGGTCCTCGAGATGCGAACCGTGTTCTCGTCATCCTCAGCGCAGTATTGACCAGAGAAGTTGGAGTAAGTCCCTGACGGCTGGGCCAGGAGGCACTCCTCGTGCCCTTCGGGTGCTGTCAAGTGGAATAGTTCTATTTCCAGTTTGATCTTAGCAACACCTGCTGATCACTTTAGAGGAATTCTGCACCTTCGCTGACTTCATTTCTAGAAGCTGCGCGCTGGGACTTCACCAGGTTAATGGAGGGGCCAGTGCTATGGTGCAGCAGGTTATGTCC